ATAATACAGTCATATTCATGAGATCTAATGTTGAAATTCAAAACATAACATAAGTGCCGAAAATTAGATTTTACCAGAAAAATTCAATACAAACAAATTTGGTGAGCCTAAGGTCTCTATAAAGATACTATATCTGAATAAAACGCAGAAATGACAAAACAAAATAGCATTAAAATCAAGTACAAATTAGAATTCCAATATTTATTAGTAGAAATTGGAATATTCAGATATACCATCAGAAGAATAGAGAGGTAAATCGGTTTATATGAACCAAAAACAAACTGCCATCGTCACTTAAGTTTCAAGTTTTTTTTTAATTGCTTGAGTATGAAAAATTTCCCAGAGCAATAAGAGGTTAATGGAACTAAGTCCAGAAAATACAGATTGTATGTAAATTAACAAGATCGTCTTAAATTTGGAAAATTAAACATTTTGATCTAAAAAATTTGCAAACGCGTTATATTTTTTTCTTTGCAAGCGATCCCTTGAAAACCAAAATGTCCTTTTCACCAAAAGTAGTATATTAATTTCCTGAAGTTTTTATGTTTGTTCAAATGTTGCTTTTTCAAGTGTTTTAACATCCTTGTATGTATCATAGCACTTCAAAATTGCAGTAAATTTCTCAACGGATAAAACTTTTTTGGTAACTAGAATTGAGCTTGTTTATTGTTAATATTTTAATCATTACTTAAAAAGTGTTCAGAACAAAATGAGCACCCTCATGACTTTCATGACATGTGTCTGAAGGTAGATTAACGGACACAGTGTCTCTCCTGCTTTATTTGTCATGATTGAATTTATGTTGAAAGTCTGCAATATGAAGGTTTTAAAATAAGTATCACATAAACTTAACATTATCAATGATCCATGTAAATGAGTTCTAGGTCAGAAGAACCCTACAAGACCGACATAATAAAAATAAAAAAGAAGATGTGGTATAATTGCCAATGAGACAACTCTCCACCAGACACCATATGACGTAGAAGTGTTCACCTAACAATCATACAAGGCACTAATTATAGTTAGCCTATTGCTTAGGGTATCTGAGAAACAGACCTAAGTAAGAAAATTGAACATTGACCAATAACCCTTAGATTGATATTGAGATCAAAGTCAGATGAACCCTGTCAGATAACATGTACACCATCCGTCATTCCATACACCAAATACAGTTGATATATTGCTTATAGTATCTGAGAAACAGAGATAGCCCTGAAAACTTAACATTAACTAATGAACCATGGAAATAAGGTCAATGTCCAAACAGATATGTACACTTTACAATCATTCCATGCGTCAATTATATAGTGGCCTAATGGCTTATAACATCTGAGAAATAGACCAAACTTGAATACAGAACATGGTCTAATGAACCACGAAAAAAGGTCAAGGTCAGATGAAACCGAACAGACGGACATGCGCACCTTACAATCATTCCATACAGTAAATACAGCTGACCTATTGCTTAAAGTACCGTGGGCGGACTGGAGTACAAACACTTAACCTTGATCACTGATCCATGGAATGAGGTAGAGGTCAGGTGAACCCTATTTGACGAACATTTAGACCTTGCAAGGATCCCTTATACAAAATATAATTATCCTATTACTCAAACGTGAGCATTTCACATGACCAAAAAACTATAAATTTATTTCAAGCAGTCGCTGAACTATGAAAATGAGGTCAAGGACAATGGACATATGACAGACTGAACTTCGAAATATAAGTCATCTGCATACAAGGAGTGAAGCATCCAGGTCTTCTACCTTATGAAATATAAATCTTTATAGGAATAGTTTAAGCCGTCGCCGTCGGGTAAAAATCACGTCTTGCATTCTGTGACTTTGGTCGCAAGCGAGATAACAACTGAGGTAGGTCAAATTTCCCCTGAATTTGTTTCACTCACAGCTTCAAAATCAGAAAGTTGTTAAACTTGATGGAACTAAAAAATAAATAATGTTATTAAAAAAGGATCACACGTTTTACCTATTCCCTTAATGTTACTCAGAGTTCAGAGACACTGAAGACAATATTGAAAATTTTACATGCTTTCGTTAAATTTTGCATGAAAGAACATCATTAAACTAAATGAATTAATTTGTATCTGAAAAATCTTTATATATCTGAAAAATCTTTATATATCTATATTTGCATCTGAAATACACCAAAGTATTTTTAAAACCTTAAAGTACAAATATTAACCTACATTACTCTGAATTCTAGTAAAGATGGAAGGACTTTTAGAAAAAGGTATTAGGCTCTGGTTTTGAAATTAATTAAGGAGAAATTGGCCTTTTTTATTTTCTTTTTGATTCCGACATGTTTTGATTTTCAGTTTATTTCATTATGAAGTAAATCAAATAAATGTTATTAAAGTGTCTTAAGTAATCATTTAATACGATCCAAAATCTGGATATCTCAATTTCTACAACTAGATACTGGAATTCTATATAATTGTATTGTTTTTTAATCTTTATAAATCAGAATTTCCAACTAAATGTAATAGATATTGGAATTACAATTTACAAAAGGATTATTCTGGATTCTATTGAATTGCAATTTGTACTGCAAAACATTCATTAAACCAACCATTTTTAGACGATTAATCAATTATTCATTCATATTTCAATGGGTTTTCAGTCAATAACACTAAAAATTTGCGAGAAATCCAAATAGTTCTATAACAACTACCCCTTCTCGTCAACTCTAAATAGAAAACCTTACCCATTTGCATGCCTTCCTTAACAAGAATGCACACGCTGAAATGTCTCGCCTGTTGTACTACCCTTGATTGATTTAATATATTGAAAATCTTAAAAAATATAGGTTTTACTTCAAGTATCACATAAACTGAACATTAGCAATGATCCATGACAATAAGGTCAAGGTAAGGTAAAGCCTGACAGACAGACATCTTCACCTTACAATCGTTCCATTTACCAAATATAGTTGACCTTTGCTTAAAGTATCAAAGAAACAATCCAAACCATGATAACTTAACATTGACCAATGAACATGAAAACGAGATCAAGGTCAGATGATACATTGCAGACAGACATGTACATATTACAATCATTTCTTGCACCAAATATAGTTGACCTATTGCTTCTAATATCTAAGAAACAGACTTAACTAGGAAAACTGAACATTTACTAATGAACCATGAAAATGAGGTCAAGGTCAGATAAACCATACACCAAATGTAGTTGACCTATCACTTGTACTATCTCAAAAGAGGACCTAACCACAAAAATTAAAATTGAACAATGAAATATGCACTCCATGCGATCATTCCATACACCAAATACAGCTGACCTATTGCTTATAGTATCGGAGAAACAGATATAACCCTGAAAACGTAATATTGACGAAGGAACCACAAAAATGAGGTCAAGGACAAATGATACCTGCCAGACAGACATGTTCACCTTACAATCATTCCATATAACAAATAAAATTGGCCTATTGCTTATAGTATTAGAAATACAGACCAAAACACAAGAACTTGACATTGACCAATGAAACATGAAAATAAGGTTAAGGTAAGGTTAAACCTACCAGCCTGACATGTACGTACCCCTAACAATCATTCCATACACCAAATAGTTGACTTAGTACTTATAGTATCAGTAAACGGACCTAATCGCACAACTCTGACCATCACTGATCTATGAAATGGGGTAGAGGTAAGGTGATCCCTGTCTAACAGACATATAGTTTTTAACTTCTATCTCATTTGAAATGTATCTGGTGGAGAGGTGTTTCATTTGCATATGTGGATGTTGAAAGGAACCCATATACCAAATATAGTTATACAGTTACTTATTAGTGAGAAAAAAACTGATTTTTTTCAAGCACTCACTGAACCATGAAAATGAGGTCAAGAACAAAGTTCATATGACAGACGAGGTAAGAAGCATCCAGGTGTTCTACCTTCTGAAATATAAAGCTTTGTACAAATAGTTTCTGCTGCCACCACATAGTAATCCCCGTCTTATATTCCAAGACTTTTGTCGCAGACTGGACAAAAACTATATAATTCTAGTAATTGATCATTAAAAAGAAAGAGCCTGTCAGGCAAATTTTCGAGTAAGAATATTGTACTCAACAACTCAGAAATCAACCAATCAAAATACTTCAATAATAACATTACATGTATGTTTCATTATAATACGTTATTTTGATTGGCTATCAGCAATCTTGCATCATTCTGAAATTAACCTTAATTTCAAAATGAAATTTAACATTCATGACTACATGAGCTTCCACAATAAAGTGCACAGGTAAATAAAATAAAAACTTAATAGAAATCTCCTAGCAAAAAAACGTAATTATAAGTATTGAATGCTTTTTTTTTAGTAATTTTGTAGGGTTTTAAAAGCATTGACTGTGCGCACATTTTTAGAATGAAGCGCTTCTGCACTTCATACAAAATGTACTTTGGTCAACACTTTTACACCCCAATAAATTTACTATTAGAAACAAGCATTCAATTCTTAAATAGGTGGTTTAAACTGCTTGACTGAACTTCGAGTTTTATGTATGCATAATATGAACTCTTGCTTTCAATGTTTAATTTGTGTTTGCATGTTTTGATATGTGCTTTTGTTTTGTCAGTTTTAAAATCTGTCTAGAGCTTACATTTATAATCGTCTTTTTAAACCAACTTGAAATAAAGTTTTATGTCTTATGGTTCAGACTTTAAAGTATCAGTACCTGAAAGTCTTTTTCTATTTGAGCTGTGTTTAAACTAACTGGTTCATACCAGTACATAGTATTTGATTTAGAATATGTAAATCAATTTTCTGCACAGAATTTTTAATAGTCTACTATTAATAGTAGCTTTGATCTAGTCCTTTGAAGTCAAAGACCATATACTAAGAATACAAACCCAAAACCAACATTTTTATTCATAACTTTCTTTTCAAATAGATTTGTAACATCCCATGGACTTTGACAGACAATAGGGACAGAGGCCAAGTGATTTCATGAGAACTATAAAATAACAAAACAATTTTTATTAGGTTTTTAATTGAATTGACTGATAAAAAGAGGTGACAATCAATTAAAATAGAATATATTCAAAAATATGCATGAAACAATTCTAAATGGTATTATAATTAAAAGCAATAAAACAATGAAATATCACTTAATTTCTTCTTATTAAAAAATTTCCCTTAATGATCGGTGAAAAGAATGTCTGTTCATCTTTACAAATTTTATATTTTTCAAAGTAAATTCACTATTACAAGGAAAGATGCAAAAACGACTTATGTTAATAGATTTCTTTTCAATTTCAAAAAACTAAATTAGAAGACAATACAACTAGAATTTTTGAAATGAATATTAGTTTGTGTTGATTTTAATTAATATACCAATTATAAACCTAATTACATCATAAATAATATAATGTAATTTTTACTGGAAAACCCATTAAATCTGTAGGACATTATAAACTCTATTTAGAAAAACCGATACAAAGTGAAAATGACTAGTATGAGCCATTATTTAACCTCAGAAATTACACAAGTTTCATTCAACTGTTACACACTGTTAATTTAATTGATTGGACAATGGATAGACAAACATAGTCTAGTAATTTAATAAAGAAATTTCATTAGTTGCTTTTGTTGGTCATAAACACGTTATAAATGCAATATTTAACAGGAATGGTCATTCTCATAAAATTAGTTTTCCCTGTTGAGATATATTGAGTCAAACCTCTTTAGTCAAAAACACAAATCAGTGTCACGGTATTTTGTCATTCCTGTGAAATTCTTTTTTGTTTAATGCATTTTCAACTTAGGTGGAGGAATTATTTTGAAGTTCTCTCAAATAAAAAAATTACAAATTAACTGTGACCAATCAATATTTGAAGTACAAGAAAAAAACATAATTTGAGAAGTCCTGTTGGGTTCTTTTGAGTTAACTTATTTAGGTTCGACTGTATTAGCTAAAAGATATCTATCAACCATCATAATGTTGGTTCAAAAAGTTTGCCGCTCACATCTTGGTGTAAGTAGGAAGATCTCTTTGAGTCAATATGAGTTGTTTTTTCTCTCTAAAATACAGAAATATGAAAGCCTAAACAAATATGCATGATAAAAAACTGCAACACTGGTTTACTGTTATCCAATACATTATAGCTTGTGTGAACATTTATAATGTTGTTTCTTTTTTACTATAATCAAATACAGACAAGAATAAAAGTGAATAATGTTCATATTTATTTATAATAAAACAAAATCACAGAGTGATACATTGTAAGTTTAGGTGTCTACTTAGCACTAATGGATAATCTAATCCCTTAATAACTGCTATTCCTTACAATCAAACTTAAAATTCAATTTTCTATTTATATATGCTACACTATCTACATTTGTATTTGGTTAGAATAAATTACATGTGTTAAAAACATTCAACTTCATTTAATATTGCTTGTTTTGAAATAAAAATTATCTTTTGGAAAATTCAACTACATTTTTTCTTCTTTGTTTAAACTTCTCACTTAAAAAAGTTTACATATGGATATGAATTTATACAAGATACCCTCAAAAAGTACAAAAAGGGAGACCATTATTGGATTGTAAAAACCACAACTCTTCATTTTATTCAGCAACTTAATCATTTTATTTAGCAACTTAAATACAGACCATTTCATAGAAAACATCAGCATATTTTTCATAGACTAATGCATTAATATTACATACAACTTTCTTATCAAAAACCTACATAACTTTTAAAATAACTCATGGTCTGATTCACATGTTTTTTTAAAGGTATTTTGTTAAAACAACAGAAAGTATTGCAAATTTAAAGGATATTCAAGTTTAACCATCATCTTTATCTACCTGTTTTAGGAGAGATAATCACAGTTGGATGCTGTTGGGCAACACGATGACATATCTTAAAATGAAATAATTCTTATTGAGGGACTATATTTTTACAAATATGCATGTATCTATGAATTACTAAGAAATCTCTTTGGATTTAATATAATTGGATGAGTACCATTCTTAGAATTTAAAGTGTAATGTTTTCCCCTACTACTATTACATTCAAGGTTTAAGGAATGAAAAAATCCCTTTAGCTTCACATACATACATTTACATTCATAAATGATAAAGCCACTGAGGAGCAGCATATGAGCTCAATATTACCAGATTTAACATATTCAAAGGATTTACAGATGATATCAAGACTATTCTCTTTGAATGACATGAGGTGAATTTTTTTTACTAATTCAAGCACTTACAGAACCAGTTAAACACCCTTTTCGCCAACATGTTTATAATTCAGTTAAAATACACATTTGAACATTAAAATCTGTTGCAATACTATTTCTAGTTATGAAATACTGTAAACCTAAAAGTTCAAGAGGATTTTTTTTTTACTAATCAACTGAATAAGCATTTTTCATAGCTAATCATTTTTTGAATTTAAGAAAATAAAGTCTAAATTAAACAGTTATTGGTTTAAATCTGGATGTTAATATACAAATATAAAGGTATGTTTTAAATATTGAGAAAAGTTAAATATTATGTTATAGGAGGGACAAGAACAGCAATTTCAGTATGGAAGTATTTCACAAAATATGAACATCATTTAATATATACACAAGCAATTTCTATGTACAATTAACAATCATTTACCTGTTACAGGTTCATGTACCATGACCAATATTATCCTCAATTCCAGTAAAAAAAAATGAGTTATGAATCCTGAGAAATTTTATAATAAATTAAATTTAAAGTATAAATAATGTAACTTATGAAATGATACAATATTTTACAACTTTTATGATGAATTTCATACAGAACTGAACAATTTCACTAAAATTTGATCCCTTTTTTATTTAAATCTGTGTACACAATATTTTTAATGCAACATAGTATTTCCATTTTGTGTACTTTCAAAAACTTCCAGCAAAAAGCTACACCAAAATAATTTTTAAGAAATCATGCAAATCTATTGCAATATTACAATTATCATTTATCCTGTTGTAATCCACATGGGCGGACATCTTATGGACATAAAATTAATTTAAATTAGCTTTTAATATAGGTCTTGACATATCTTATATTTTACAAACAGTTAATGGGTATAACTTGATTATAAAGTTATTTCAAATCAGTAGAAAATCATATAAATAAGTAAATCATATTTTTTTTTTATTAAGAATTTTGAGGTCGGACCTAAATTTTAAGTTCCTCGACAAAACAATAATAATAATGTATTTCATATATAATTCAATTCCATAAATTGCTTTTCAAAAATCTTTCGCCCAATGAATTAAACAAGAGTATTTACCAAGAACATTATTCCAATACAAAATTTATAATTTTAAGAATGAATCTATTACCCTTTTTACCCCCATTAACAAAAAATTAAGAACTCTTATCAGCATAATCTTTATAAGAAGATAAAGAAACAAAATGAAAGATTTGAAACATCTAAACCAGTTAAAATCGACTTTTCTTGGGTTTGTTTTGAGGAATCAAACACAGAACTTTTGAAAGTTAGTATCTATTAGAGATAACTTTTGACATTTTAAAAAAGTTAAATTTTCATGCATCATTTATTACAATGTAATGTCTCTTTAGCAAGGGCATTTATAATAAAAACTTGCTTGTGAGCCTTCTTTACTCTTTGTTAATCTAGATGGTTTCACTTAGCTTTTCATTCATTTGAACATAGTGGGCTACAAAAAGACCTTATAAAATCAATGTGCCCCTATGCATTTTTATCTAATCGTCAAGATTTGTGTAGTTGTTGTTAGATAGTACAAACTTGTTAAATATCAAAGCGCAAAACAGAAATGTATTGCAGAAAAAAAAGCAAACAAAACAAGGAGAAAAATGTATATTTTCCCTAACATTTGGGCTGGTTAGTTAATAACTGTTATATATATAAATATTGTAATGTCAGTTCCAAATGATTTGCCTCTTGATCAATAAAGTTTGGTAAATCAATCAAATTTCTATAAGGAATTGCTGCAAAACCCTCTTACACTATCATTAGTGCCAGTATATAATACTTGTAGGCAAACAATCAACAAAGTTTAAGAAAAATTGTATCTTCAAATATAAGGCTTACAAACATTTTCAGTATCACACTTTAGCATGTATATCTTGAAAAAAGTGAGAAAAAATATATGGAATTGTTGGTTTTGTTCATTCTTTTATATCCAAATCATAATGTACGGGTATTATAACATACCAATGACTAGTAATCAATTAAGAAATAAAATTCTCAATTAAAATAAAATTTCCTCTTAAAAATACCAAAGCCATTTGAGTAACATGAGCAATACCAAATTTTTCTCAAATATATATATTTCATCTTTATATATTCTGAACACAACTGTGAGTACACTAAAACAATGATCTGAATTCATTATAAAACAACAAATGTCTAATGATTAATAACAATCAACAATTAAAACAAATATTTTCTACAATTTTTTGCACCACACTGACAAACAATTCTATATTGATCAGTCAATGACTTTGGAATAAGTTCACTTTTTTGTGTTTCAAGTTTTGGAGGTTCATCAAAGACCTCTTCCGACTCATTGGATAATTCTGGTATATTACTATCAGCATCTCCTGTCTCTTTGACATCAGTCTTCAACTCTGGTAAACTGTCATTCTCCAGGGTGACTTCTAATGAATCCCCTTCAGCCTCTGGATACGTCTGTAGCACTGGCTTTTTCAGAAACTCTGCTGCTAGATCCTTTTCCACTTGATCAAGTGTTGGTGGTTGATTTGTAGTATCTCCTGTAATTAACACAAAATTTTTTAAAAATGCCTCTATCAAAACTTATAATTTAAGAATGAATTGTAACAAACATAACCCAGCAAGTTTGTGTTCAGTATAGTTGGATTCAAAGTATAACCTGTGTTGACCAAACAAGTGTTCGACTTATAAGCTCACTTATGTCATCTTGTCAAAATCTAATTTGTATATTATTATCAATGATATTGTATTTATATTCAACATGAAGTGGAACATCTACTTTTATCCTAGAGCAAAAATAAGAAAAAAATAAAATTTGTTTAAGGAACTTTAGGGGCATAACAACAGTAAATGTTAAATCTGTCAAAATAAAACTTCCCTTGAAGTTATATATACATGGCAATTATGTGTAAGAATATATAAGTATTTGTTTAACTGGAAGTAGATAAGCAATGAGTCTGAAAATGCATTACACAGTAAAGCATATTCACATGGAAGTTAGAATCCAAATTTCTAGAAGCTCTGAATTGCACTTCGTTAAAAAAACTGACCAGACGGATGGAAATAAAGACAAATGTAAACCAGGTCACCCCTATCCTTTTGGAATGTGGGTATAATTACAAGTAGGCAGACACTAAGTGCTGGCACATACCCTTTGGGACTAAACATACCTGTCATCATGTAATCAAATGTTAATTCTTCTCCTTTCTCAATGTCTCTCCTTGAAAACAAGGCAATCCTCGGTAATGTTGGATCTAATGTATTAATCCATACTCCAAATACTTCCAAGTTAGGATCACACTGAAAGAGACAAGTCATTATTTCCAAAGAGGACTTAATTTGTAAAATGTCTGTAGATAATAAAATCTTCTCAAAACACTTCTTTTTTTCTTTCACATTACTTAATACACCTATGCATCTTTAATACACAGAATACATTGTTTGTGTTGAATGTCATTGATGTGTTGCCTGGTTAACTTACATAATTTCCTCTGTTTACAATTTCCTCTGATTTTTAACTGATCTAGATACCTTTATGTCTCTACTGATCTAAAACTCTGATGTACATTAATATCTTGTATAATATAGACGTAAACAAATTATTTTTTATCTAAAAAATCTCCTTGTTTGGTTCCAGGATCAACCTTTGGTCAATTCTCATGCCATTTTAAAGTGGGCTGATCCCAACAGTGCCCATGATTGGTTTAGATTTAGATAGCCAGCGAAATTTTATCTCAAGAGATAAGTATTTACAATGTCAAAATCTCTTTTAATAACAGCTACCTATATACATGATATATGTACAAAGTAAAAAATATCTTACTGAATGATTGATAAAGTGAGACACATTTCCATAGTAACCAGCATCAACAGTATATGGACAGTCTCCATCATTATAATCGAGATCAAAGAGGTAGGTTCTTCCAACAGCATCATAATACTTCCCTCGTTTTTCTGCTTCTACATCTGTTATGACCTGTAATGACAATATTAAAATGTAATCACAACAGTTTAGAAGCCATTACTAATCATTTTCATTTGTGAATCATTCAGCTTATCCAGTTAAATTTAATTTTTTCTCTTACAGCTAATTTGCACTGTTTAGATTCAAGTGCATCTGATGAGCCTTATAAAAATGTATATAGTTGGAATGTGCTTTTGGCGTACCAAATTGAAAGCCTTGTATTTTGGATAGAGTTTTTTGTACCTCATTTTTTGGCTATTTCTAATGAGCTTGCATTTTTTGCTTTTATTATCTTTAAAAGCAAAGACAATTTTCTTATCAAATTTATGCAATACATGATGTACCTATAAATTTAAGTTCTATTAAAAGATACATGGGAACCAGGGAAGGCACTACAAAATCCCATCTATGGATATAAGTGTTTATGAACAGTGCAAGTGAAAGAGAACTTCTAAAACTGCCTCTCTAGATGGTTAACCATTTCCAAAGTGCTGATCCTGGGTACCATGTATGTTTTAATTGCATAGCCCTAATTTTTCTTGAAGTTTATCAGTATAAAAATTGTAAAAAAGTGAACCCATCAAATAGTAGAAAATTGAAGAACTATTTTTAGTGAAAGTTTCACAAATAACTATAAGATAATCAACCAATATTATTCTTTAAATGCAAACTCTACAGCACATTTATCACACAATTCTGACAGTATAAAGTTATATGTAATTTCTCTGTCTAAGGTTATAGGTGAAAATAGTTTGGACTTCAATGTACAACAGAATCACTGGGTCAGTTTGGTGTCGGAATAAAATCTTCAGGTGAGTGAAAAAATAATAAACTTTTGTCTGATAAAAAAAGAGAAAAACTCATCTAAAGCAAATCAGCGGATAATCTTTGTAAATCCCAGACTTCAATTTTGTATTAGAACTTGGTTTAAAAAAAAACAAACTATTGTTTGCATTCATGTACAAGAGTTTTTCTTTAAATGAACTGTTACAATTACATTGAGTCAACTGGTGAAAGCATAGCAATGCATATAGTCTTCCTTACCTCTCCAACATATTCAACAACAAATGACCCTTTCTTAATCTTCTGAAGAGTTTTCACACCCCATCCTCTACCATTGATTGTCCTAAATATGCTCAGTTTGAATTTTCTTCCCAACTGAACTACACGATTAGGACACTCTGGACCACATTTACATCGTTTATTACACTCATAAATTGGTGTTCCTTTGAGAACTCTTAGTCTCTTGTTTTTGTAGTAGGCAAACTCTGATCCACACTGGGTTACACAGCATTTTTTCTTATTATCTAAACAACTGTCACATTCACATCCTACAAGAGGATCATTTGGTATGATAATTCCTCCCATTGGCTTATAGTCATTGATATATACAAAGTTTTCTGGGGGACCCTCAAGATCTATATTGTTTTCTACAACTATTCCGGCAGGGTCTGTACTAATGGCATTTAAATGAACTTGCCATTCCTTGAGTGCTTTATGAATTTCCACTTTCTTTTGTTTGTATGCTTTGGATCTAGGATTTAATGGTTTTCCTGCTGAAGGATTATATTTTGGTTTGTACTTTCCACCAGTAGCAATCAGCCCTTTGAAAACAGGTTTGCCACCTTTAACTGGACTACTGACAGAGAGTAACTGTAGAGGAGATATTTTCCCTTTCATTGGTTTAAGTTTCTGAAAAATTTCATCTACTCTACTCCTCTTGGATATTGGGATGTTGTCGTCATATTCGAACTTCCTCTTGGTACCTCTTACATGAAACTCTTCCAAAAGATCCTTACATTCTAGATTTGCCTTTGGTTCCCAAGAATTGTGTGCATTACTCCAGTCTTTCCATTTGATTAGATAATATTCTTCTCCCTAAATGAATTGTGATTTAAAGTATTTCAAAATGATTTAAAATGCATGCCAGGAAGGTACAAACTTTTCATTTAATCACAGAAGTTTCAAAAGTCACCTGCAGTACTTTCTTTTTAAAAAAAGTTTTCAGTTTCATCATACATGTATTTATACTCAACTTTTTTTCAGCGGTTGCACACCACTTTTTCTGTAAAAGTTAACGGACGATGACAATTGACACCAAGTGATGAGGAAAGCTCACTTGGCCCTTTTGGGCCAGGTGAGCTAAAAACTAAGGTTTCGCTTGCTTCCACTTCTTTCTGTCCTCCATAGAACACAATATTTTTATTTATCAAATTACAAGATTTGAACAATCACATAAATCCGGGCAAAACATAATTTTCTAACTTTCAAGTCGAAAAAAAAGAAGAAAAAATATTCAGCACAAGCTATTTTGTGTGTGTGTCATTTTTAAAATCATTGATTTATTTGTTTAAAATGGAGAAATTATGACAGAAACATTTTTTTTTTATTGATCACGTTTTCTAAGGAAACTTTGATTTTATTTAAAATGAAAATTGTGTTATTCATTAACTATTCTTTTTTGTAGATTTATTTGTATTGCTGGTTTACTACCTCATTTATATATATTCTAAATATCTTGATCAAATTGAAAGAGAAAGAGAATTGCAATCGAGATCACATTATGTAATGGGATAATTTCATAAATTTTTACTTGCCTGTCTTTATTTATTGTTGGGCATTGTGCTTCCTTTTGAAAATACTAAATCGAATATGAAATACATACAAGAAGAACTTTGTCTGACGTGAAAAGACATTGCTCAATAACTCACAGTTTCATTTACAAACATAGTGCACTGACTCTTTAAAACATTTTTACGAAATCATTTGAAAGTTTGTTTAACATAGACAGACCAATATTACAATCCATTACAATAAGCATATATAGTGAGGCTTGTAGTACGTGACATGCCACTGCATGATAATTCATAATGGTTTGAAGGCATGTCAAATTATCACTAGTACAATAAACTGTTAACACAGAGATATGTCTCGCCTATTTGTTATTTTGATAATGCAAATGTTGAAATTAAAATAGCAATACTTTAACATGTAAGTTATGCAAATATTCAAAGTCAATGAACCATGACTGATAGTACAGGGTTAAACAATCTCCATGGAAATGAGATGTGCCAATGCTAATACAACTGCAAACCAAATACCATTGACTTTTCATAAGTTGTTCCCTTTAAACAAACCTAAACACAAACATTAACTTGTAAACTATGTACAAGTTTCAGTCAATGAACCATAATTAGGGGGTGGGGTTATATAATCTCCATGGAAATGAATATCATGGACTTAAAATTAGTGGTTCATCTTAAACTGACCTAATCACAAACTAATACATGTAAACTAAGCAAAAGTTTCAAAGTCAATAGACCATGACTGAGGGGTAAGGACCAAATATTCTCCATGGAAATGAGATGTGCTTATGCTTATACAACTGCATACCAATTATCATTGACCTACCACTAACGGTTCCCCTTAAACTGACCTAATCACAAACTTATACATGAAAACTAAGCAAAAGTTTCAAAGTCAATAGACCATGAATGAGGGGGCGGGGCCAAAAAATCTCCATGGAAATGAGATATGCCAATGCTTATACAACTGCATACCAAATAACATTGACCTACCACTAGTGGTTCCCCATAAACTAACCTAATCACAAACTAATACAGGTAAACTAAGCAAGGTTTCAAAGTCAATAGACCTTGACTGAGGGGACAGGGCCAAATAATCTCCATGGTAATGAGATGTGCAAATGCTAATACAACTGCATACCAAATATCATTGACCTACCACTTGTGGTTCACCATGAACTAGACCTAATCACAAACTAATACATTGTTGACGCCGCCGCCGAAAACAGCATACACGTCTCGCTTTTCGACTCTGTCAAGGTGAGACGATAAAAGAACAGAGTTCCAATGGCCTTGCATTGCACATATTTTATATTTCCAAGGGGCATAACTAAAAATAAGTGGGGAATGTGTCCCATGGACACAGATGATGCCCCCGCTTGTATACAACGTTATAAAGGGACATAATTCAAGAACTGTAAATTGACGCTACCCAAATTTGTACTTGATCTGAGTTTTATGGTAAACATTGTTTATAGGTTTCATAACATTTAGTTGAGGCAAACTTAAGTTAGAGAACAGAAATAAATATTTCAGCAATTTTTCCATTTGTAAAGGGACATAACTCTAGAACGGTAAAAGTGACGCCACCAAAATTCAAACTTGATCTGTGTTTTGTGGTAATAAGCATTGTGTATAAGTTTCATAACATTTGGTTGAGGTAAACTAAAGTCAGAGAACGGGAATGAAATTTTTCCATTTGTAAAGGGGCATAACTTTAAAACGGTAAAAGTGACGCCACCAAAATTCATACATAATCTGTGTTCTGTGGTAATAAGCAGTGTAAAAGTTTCATAACATTTGGTTGAGGCAAACTGAAGTTAGAGAGCGGAAACCAATTTTGGGACGTACAAGGGTAAAACTTAATGCCCCCCCTACTCTACGGTGGGGGCATAAAAAGTCGATTGTCCAACAATATAGAACTTGTCCAAGATATTGCTGATATTAACATTTAGTATAAGTTTTATAAAAATCTGGCAAGAATTGTACCCATGAGAGCACTAACAAGACAGGTCGGACGCCCGGTATTTCCATGTCCCCCGCAACGCGTTACGCAGGGGACAAAAATATCCAATCAACTGTTCTATTCCACAAAGATTGAGTATGGTGATGCTTCAAACAATGTAATTTATGAAATGACAATGTCAAAGTTTTAGGACACTGTTATATCAACATCAGAGAGTAATGTACTTTATTGTGAAGTTTTTGGACTACTGTTCAAAATAATGTTGATTTCAACAAGGAGCTTTGCAGCGCAGAGAAAACGTTAAGTATAAATTAATACCTATTCACATGATTTATTTTGTGCCAATCTGTATTATAATTACAAACAAGAATGTGTCCATAGTACACGGATGCCCCACTCGCACCATCATTTTTTATGTTCAGTGGACTGTGAAATTGGGATCAAAACTCTAATTTGGCATTAAAAATAGAAAGATCATATCATAGGGAACATGTGAATAAAGTTTCAAGTTGATTGGACTTCAACTTTAATCGAAAACTACCTTGACCAAAAACTTTAACCTGAAGCGGAACAGACAGACGAATGGACGCACAGACCGTAAAACATTATGCCCCTCTGCTATCGTAGGTGGGACATAAAAAAAAAGTGTTGGGTATCAGTATAAAATTATAATCAATTAATCAGACAGCATGCTGTTATTCCATTTTTCATTTTTATGCAAAAAATGAAGAAATTGAGTAACACTCTTTTACTTTTTTAATACTTGTGCATGTCATTTATAGTAATAAAGTAGAATCACACAAATATAAATATCCATAAGTACTGGACCCCCAAAAAGTGTGCAACAAATGGATATTTTATGAATGTTCAAAGGCATTCCTTACATTTACAAAGAGGTGTCAAAGTTTCCTTTATAAAAAACAACATTTTTACAGATTTTCTTCAATTACTTTTGCACATGCTTAACGTTAGAAACATGTTACAAAATGAGCGCCTTCTTAATGTGAACTAAGGTGACCGAAAACATTACATCGAAAAATTTTGCCCGATCAAATAATTTAACTCTAATAATTCAATTGGACATGTACATTTGTGCAAGTTTTACTATGCTGAGCTGAACACAATTTTAGCAATTGTCAACTGTTTTAAAGACTAAAATAAATTATGTAAGCATTGGGAAATAGACATTTTCATACCTCATCTTCACAATGGTCAATGATTTGTTCAACTTCCCAGTGGCCATCTTCCCAATTTATTTCTCCCTTTTCAACAACTGAAATCAGAAAACAATACATAAATTACAACCATGTCAGATGTAGGACGACATGATTTCATATCAGCAAATTAAATACTCCTGAGCTTGCTTTCATTCACTTTTTGAGCATCCCTTGATAAGAGTATAATATTATTGTTTGTATTTTGAATGTTTTGTGTATGAGTTCAGTGCTTTTCCAATGTTATTCACTGTACACTGTAGTTTCTTTTGAGAACCGTTGTTAGTCAGCTGATCAAGATTTAAAGGGGTGGGTTGGGATTTAATTATTCTAAGAAATGTCTAGTTCCAAGTATGGAACCTCCTTAGTGCAGTGGTTCAAAAGGCAACTGGACATTTGGTCCAGTAAACATTCTTAACTGGACCAGAATCTTTTTTACAGGACATTTACATTACGCATATGATTTGGTCCAGTAATGCATATCACTTCACTGGACTAATCCAATTTTTACAGGACTTTGCCCAATGATACCTTGGGAATGACTCTTTAATATTGAGAATATGGTACTGATGTCAGATCTTTGGTTGCATAACATGTTTTACTTCTTTAAGTGTCTCATTGTTGCAATTTATTTTGAAATATCTTATAAAACACAAACACATTGTCATCTAGCCCATAACAAATCAATACCATACTAATCCAAGAAAACATGTTGTAATTTACCTGTTTAGTCAGATAAATTATGTGCATTGATGAATAAAACAGTGAGCACAGCATTTCTAAATGTCCCAATTATGATTGACACGATAATTGTTGAATGAAGGAGATAATTATAGTATCCTTTCCTTGTAATTGGCAGAGTTTAGGATTTGTTAGAATTTTTTAAATACTGAACTTTAACTTTTGAGATTTTTGGCACAAATTTATATCCATAAATTGGGATTTCATCATTAGGCCAGAGTTTTTTAATATGTTGGTTTACAGATCCGCCAACCCTATTTTTCCGATTTGCAGAATAAAAATGAAATTGACATATCATGCTTTTATTCCCGCCAACCCTAACAAATACATTATCCCTGAAATTTAAATAAAAAATTCTTTTTTAAGAATTAAATGCATTAAACATTGTGTTGTAAAAAAATAAAAAATAATCTGTATGTTTACGTTTCTAAAAATAAGACAAATCAATCATAACTGACCTTGAAATGTTGTTTGCATTATTTGCGGAGCGAAACCTGTGATTAAAACCCATTACAATAAGTTTGTTTTCCTTTTTTGTCATAATTCCGTAAGCTGCATCATCTCATAGATGAAATGGACCTGTCCAAACGTGAAAGACGTCATAGTAATACAATGTAGATATTCACAAACAATTTGAATATTTCTTGTTTCATAGATATTAAAAAAAGTTCATCCATTTGGATATCAAAAATATGAATGCATGACAACTGATGAATCCGATATCCTCGTGTTTCCAGTGGGCGAGTCTATTTCATTTTTTGACACGGATGGTAAAGCTTATTTTCGTACAACGTGTTTGCAATTTTTATTTATTAGCTTTTCGTGCTTGAAGATCATTATAATTACCATGTTTCCTGAAATTTGATAAAAAGCAAGGTGGATCTGTTTTTTCTTGTTCGTGAAATGACGGTTTAATTTCGTCTGTCTGTGGACATATCCCCCTTTTTGGAAATTGTATAACGATGGCATGTATTTTATGTTTAAAACAGCTCAGCAATAATATTTGGAACTAAAATTTAAGAAATGATGACAAAATAGCATACCATGCATACCAAACATATTGTTAGTTAGATGAAATATATATATATTTTTTACATACATGTATTTATGTCTTGAATGAAAGATATTTTGTGTTTTTTTCCCCCCGACCGACCTGACTTTTTCATGTAAAAAATCCGTAAACCTACAAATTAAAAAACCCTGGCCTAATTCTCAATAATGAAGATTCTTCATGTTGAACTGGACATTTGGTTCAGTAAAGATAAGCATTTACTGTTTCAAATAAATCTTTAACATTTTTAACCATTGGAAAAATCAAATAATTTCTGACACACAAAAAAAGAGGTAAAGACGTCCTTTAGTATTCAGCAATTGTAATACACCCTCTAGGCTATAGGAAATTAATTCAGATATGTAATGAGGGGTTCATTTTCTTTTATAAATCAAGGTGCAATTCCAAATGACAGAAAAAGAATATTTAGGATTTAATAAAATTTAGCAGGCCGTCTATTCTTTTAAATCACAATTTGCAACTGTTGACATCAATTTATCGCAAAAACTCAGGAAGTTTTTGTAAAGGATAGTTTACATATTCTTCTGTAATTCTAATTATCATGTTTCATTGCACAATATTTCATGGGAAAATGGATTTGTATTATTGATTTAGTTCTTTTTTTAAAATTCTGAAAACCACCATCTTCACACAAATCAATCTAATCAGTTATCAGCAATACAGAAAATGTGCCAACTTGAAAAATATCCACAAATAAACAAAATGCATTTTTTATATGGAAGTGTTCTTGCAGTGAATCACGCTGTGGCTGCTCAATTACAAGTAATGGGACCTAATACATATTTTTTTATTACATCACAACTAACTGACCAATCAGATGACCCAATAAAAACCTGTTATCAGACTAGGTGATTTTTACCAAATTCATCATGTTTATACACTGTTAATACAATGTTTAAACTGTCAGATATATATTTTGACAGAAATTATATTTTTTTTATTTGATATCATTTTTCACATATATTATATATATATTCATATGTAGCACATGAATTTTGAGTTTCATTTTTACTTTAATACAGATTGGGGAAGATCCTCGTAGAGGAGTACTATCCCTATTTATGGATATTGTACCAAAAATCGAGTATCAATTTACAGTGATAAAAAATTAACTTTAAAATTTCATCATAATGGCTGTCATGGCACAAACATTCATAAAAATGGCTACATCTTTTCCTTTCGTTTAAGAACATAGTTCAAATGAAAACTTTTTGAAGGCTATTAACTTTTACCCAGATGATATTTCAGTCAAGGTTTGGGCAAAATGTTGACATTTACCTGAATTTTTGCGCCATGACACCAGATACATGCATCTAAAGTTTTTATTTTTTTTCAGTCAATTGTTACCAGTTTTGGGGTATTATATCTGTAAATGGGGATAGTACCCTTTCTAAGGATCATCCCAACCTGTTAAATATCTCACAAGATAAAAAAAAATAACAATAAGTAATTGTTATAGCAAGGCCAAATTACAAGAGGTTTGGTAAATATCATCTTGCAGAAAGTTAAATGCCAGGATGTTCATAATTAAGTTTATATAGTAGTAGTGGTGGACACTTTGGTATCTATATATATACATGTATGTTCGCCCCATTTTAAGGGTGCATTTGTTAATTAATGTGGTGCATGATGGGTATGCTATGTAAGAGAGATCAACAACTAAAGGATATTGCAAGTGAAAACGTCAATGCAACAGAATAAAAAACAATTGTGTTTTATAAACAACATTTACACGAGGATTTTCCTGTACCTTTCTGATGTCGCAGGACATACATTAAGACAGTAGTAGATTGCTCAAAGAGGTCATTTACGCAGATTGACACAGGTCTACTTGCCAACTCATTTATCTGTATGGGTACGTTGTAGAAATTATACCTAAGGGCTTCATAATTTATAATATAACAGTAATTCCTTTTTTTTCATAATAAAAGAATTTGAATTCGGTATACAAGATCAGTCATGTCAGTACTGTTACTGAACACAAACTCTCATAAACTTATACTCATCGACCCCTTATGCCCCGTACAATGCATTCACTGTATTTGAAAAGGATTCAAAACAATTACTTTCCCGCAATCATTGAAAAGCTTGACATCATGCCGGGTTGTCCGCCTGAACTTTAAAACTAATAAATGTCGCAAAATGGATATATTTAAAACTATCAATAAACTTACGTTTGCTGATCAATTTTTGTGCAACGAATGGACCCAATTTTTTCAGTGTCAAATATACGAGATACTGATTTGTTTCGGCTGAAAGTTTTAAATTTTGTTTTTGACACGCTCTTTGCAAATCGATTATTCCTGACAAACAGGACACCTGGGCATCTTTAATCTCATCTTCCATGGTAGAAAATATTGATTGATGTTTGAAGTTGTCTCAAAATTGTTGATCTTTAAAAGTTATCTGAAAATATCTGGCTGTCACCATTTACGATGCCAAGATAAGTTGACCACTGGATCAAACAAATGGCGCGCATTTGAATGTTTCCCGTTTGTGGAGACAGTTGATTGGTCGAACATTTTGTCGTAGGAGTTGTCCCCCTTATCAGTTATTTTTCACGCTAGCCATCCCCCGCGCATTGATTAGTGACTCAGTAAATCTGTTTGTTTCTGTCTCATCGCTTCGCTACAAATTATGAATTCTGACTGCGCGGACACAGGAATGGATTTCCTTTTTTTAAAGATATTACTTGTTTTGATTTTTATTTAGTAAATCTGAGATTTCTATATAGCTGGGACTATTATACTAACAGTTAGTAAAACAGTCCCAGGTTATATTATAGTAATCACAGAGTAAATATTCTTTAATATTTTAAACTATTTTCACTGATTTAATGTGTTATTACATGCTCTTATCCATGCGATATATTACTTTATTTATGATGCCCCTCTATTCTTATTTCCCACAAGTATAAAGATTAAAGGACAAAGAAATATTTAGAAAAAAGGGGGTCCATTCCTTATAAGTACCTGTCTAATGCAGCGAATCAGAGATTGGACCAGGCTACATGTAAAATTTAATATTGCCATATTTCCATATACTATTTCTATTATAAATTAACTCATACGAGATACCAGTAAGTTAAAAGGGACTTATAATTTTTTATCATGAAAGGATCAGCGAGTGCTGGTCAACTGTACTGAGGGATCGAGGGTATATAATTCTTTTCTATACGGTACAGGGAGGGGGATTTTGTATTCATAAAATGAGAAGTCCATGCTAGGAATGCCATGGACTTCTGATACAATATAAAATGGGGAATTGATTTTCCTGCAACATTTGGTAAACTTAAAAAACGAAAAAGAAAAAACCTTGTTTCATAATTTATTTTATCCTGCATGGGTCCATCTCTAACAGGTTTTGAAAATATCTTATATCAGAATTTCCTTAACCTTTAAAGTATGAATTATGTTTTGCATATATAAAAATACCCAATCAAAATGTTTCTGATAAAATTAAGAAAATATCTTGCATGTATAATTTGTCAATTTCACGGAAGGTTTAATATATCCATGGGTAGTTATTTATATGTAAATAGGTTATACATTTTAATCTTCTAATTAAATGTCTTCAAACATCTTCCCTGCTACATATTTTATTCAGGGCGGACACAAGTAGGGGAAGAGGGGAGTAAACCCCAGCCGCACGTCTGCACCCCAAATTTGTATGTTGAGCTCCCTACCCCGTAAATTTGAGAGAACCAACAGTAAAGATGTTCTTGCTGGCTTAAACTAGACACACGGTGCATTTAAAATGATAATATCCACCCGTTACCATAAATCGGTCACAACTTGAAAGATTTTTATAAATTATTTTTAAGACACACAAGACGACTAAACTGCCGAAACTAAATAAACTTTCTCAGTGAACTTCATAATAAGTTACGCTGTTTCGAGCATTCATTTGTGTTTTTCAGTTGCACATGACCCACGTAACCTAAAATCGGACGACCGCAAAATATGACTATATAACGCACAGGCACTCAAGAGAAAGAGAGAAAGATTTGTCCACCACGTTTCATCAGAGACACTTTTAATACCCTATACATGTCTATTGTATAAGTTCGAAATTTTTCAAAGCACGTACACATTTCTTGTAACAACTTTATACAATATGTACAACATTATAAAAAGGTGTGACAGCCTAAGTTTTTTTCCACTGGTTTCCTTTTAATATAGATTTTCAAATGTAATTATGCCTTTGGTCATTCAAATACAAATATTATCTCGTCTTTAAATTCGTTTTCAAAGCATTTTTGCAAATTCTAGTGTGCTGAGGAGCACTCTGAAATCAGAAGCATACACTACAATTGCATTATATGTGTCTGATGAAATATACCTATCGTGGCGAATCTTAAAACAGCGTATACATATTTATTTCACATGTCAGATAATGAGTGTCAAGTTCGGCTACACTCTTTGATAAATGTTGACTTCAACATATTAATATGATTTTGAACACAAATGGAGATTCATTTGGAAGTGCCGTGATTGGTTTCTTTTCGACAAAACATCCCAAAGTGGAATATCACAACATGTAAACTTATTCTTAATGAAATAATTTTAATAACGTGATTTTTAAGAATTGTTATATCGGTACTTCCATTGATTTTGTTTTTGATAAATTAAAACATATAAACTAAATATTTATTGCTATATATTTATGAAACTTATGGTTCTACATCCTGATGATGATGATGATGATGGATGCAGATGCGGATCCTGGATTTTGAAAAGGGGGGCCCGCGGGCCCCCAAACTTGACACAATTTGTAGTGGAAGCGGTAAAAAGTCTGGATTAACCATAAAAAAGCTTCATAAGAGCGGCCCCGGGCACCCCCTAAATCCGCCCCTGGGATAACTATTTAACGTCCTGCTGCAAATCAAATCTGGACGAGAACAAGTTAATGTACTGACATGAATATCAACGGCCTGCTTTGTATTAAACTGACTCACTGGGCCGGATTTTTAACGTGCTAGTTCACATTATTCCCAGTCCCTGCTCTTACTACTTAATGCCGCATGCTTAGCGGAGGTGCAGCTAATACCAATTTTAAAGTGTTTGGTTTGACCCGGCGGGAAATTCACATTCGCCTTTAATTCTGGCCTTAGGGAACACATCGAAATTCGAACACCTTCGGCATATATAACTTAACGTTTTATTTTTTTTAATAAAAAGATATTCACCAATTATCATAATTCTATATCGTTTGTGGAATAGGACTCTAAGAACAATTGATGTTTCGCTTTTTGGACCCTCTAAGCATCATGGCTCTAGGGTTGAGATGCACATTCCGATCCCATTAGTAAAGTTTTACCATACAATGCTTGGTAGTTGCAAAACAAACACTATTTTATTGAAAACCCAAATGTACCGATTTCAACTTACCAATTGTCAACTTTCCCTTTCTCGTCGGTAACATACCAAATTTCTCAGTGGTAACATATCAATTTGACCCAGAAGCAAAACTAGTCAAACAAGACTTAGTCCGCAAACTTTTACGAAACTTCAATCGATACTATTTTTATAGAAGGTCCGGTAAGGGCTTATTTTGGCCTAAAATTTGAAGTACATCCGATGAAAGATTTTTGACATTTTTTAAACACTTAAGTGTTTACCTTATTCGATTCAATTTGTTTATGTAAAAAGCTTTGAACTTATTGGTCATTAAAGAAGCTCAAACTCAAGCTAAAATATAGAAAATCATTCAAATATGCCAGAAAACGCCATTTTCAGATGTTTTTTTGTCTAAAATGAAAGTGGCCGCATTCGTGTTCAGTCTCAACCTTTATTTATGTTATGTATTATCATCAAATACAACATATATATAAAGGTTAAGACTGAACACAAGAGCAGTCACTTCCATTTTACACAAAAACCGCCTAGAAATTAGCACAAATGCTGAAATTGTGAAGATTTCAGTAATTTTACATGAATCAATGATGCTAGTACCTGATGCATGTGCATTGCATTGTCAAAAGCAGCCCATATTTATGTAGCAAAAGTATTCTACTTTCCAATAAATGGCCAAATAATTACATTTCTAACAATTTGTAAAAATGGTATATATTTAGGGCCAAAAGGGGTCTTACCGGGCCTACTTCTTTGATAAATTGATCATTGACGTTCAATTGACACAATTTATTCAGTTGAAACAACCCTGATGTCAAACGAGTCAAGCAAGCTCAATCTGTACAGAATGTTAATTGACACAATTCAGTCAATGTAATCAATTCACAGCCGTGTAATTGATTCAACTGATGTAATTGAGATCTGGAGTTCGATTGAGTCATTTAACTGTGCTGTTTGTGTCAAATGAATATTTGTACGGAAGCTAGGGATCAATCAATCCAGTTAGTAAATCAGGAAAATATGAGACAGAAAACAAAAGATTCGTTTGACAAACAACTCAAGCTTCTACTGGACTTCAGTTGATACATTCAATTCAATTACATTAATTGATACTGGAAATTCAAATTGAAGCGATTGATTCAATTGAAATCCAAAGTTAAATTAATTTAATTGTATCAGGTGTACTAATTCAATTGAATATGGAAATACAAATGAAGAAGACTTGACTGGTTTGACATTCTAACGAGTTCAGGTGAGTCAATTGTATAAAGATGATCTATAAATTGCATTATACACGGATCAATTGAGTCAATTTTGAAAATTAATCAGGAAAGTATGAGACAGGAAAGAATTGAATCGTTTATAAAAAAAGGTAAACCTTTACAGCACTAAATTTGATACAATTCAATTTGACCAATTGACATTTGATTCAATTGAAATCCAGGGATGAATTGAATCAATTGAGTAAAAATTCGTAAGGGTTCCGCGGAACCCAGTGTCTCGCCTACTTTTGCTGTTAATCGCAGGCTCAACAAAAATGAGGAAAAAAAATTAATAAAAATATTCCTCTCTATACTATCTTTTGATTGTAAGTAGCTTTTGTCCTAGTTTGGTAAAAATCCAGGATAGTTTATGAATCTAATAAATGTTTTAAAAACTTAAACTGCAGACTGTATGTAATGTTAACTGGAAGAAAAACTAAGTCTATTTATAAGTAAAATACGAAAAAAATGGAACAAAATTTTAACAAAATTTCCTTCTAGATACTAGCTTTTAATCATAAACAAGCTTCTGTCCAAGTTTGGTACAAATCCAGGATAGTTTAAGAAAGTTGTAGAAATTTTAAAAACTTTAACCACAGAGTGAATGTAATGTTAACTGGCAGAAAAACTGAGTCCATTTATAAGTTAAATACGGAAAAAACGGAATTTTTTTTTACAAAATTTACTTCTGGATACTATCTTATGATCATAAACAAGCTTCTTTCCAAGTTTGGTAGGAATCCAGGATAGTTTAAGAAAGTTATTAAAATTTCAAAAACTTTAACCACAGAGTGAATGTAATGTTTCCTGGCAGAAAAACTAAGTCCATTTATAAGTAAAATACGGAAAAAATGGAATTTTTTTTTTACAAAATTTACTTTTGAATACTATCTTATGATCATAAACAAGCTTCTGTCCAAGTTTGGAAGAAATCCAGGATAGTTTAAGAAAGTTATTAAAATTTCAAAAACTTTAACCACAGAGTGAATATTTGTGGACGCCGCCGACGACGACGACGACGACGACGCCGACGCCGACGGAATGTAGGATCGCTATGTCTCGCTTTTTCGACAAAAGTCGAAGGCTCGACAAAAACGTCAGATGGAAAAAATAATGACTCATTTGACCTCCTACACTCATTTGATACGATTATACAAATGATACTCTAGTTATTAATTCATTTTCTTATTTTTTTCTCATCGGAAAATGTCGTACCAAGTAAGGAATATGACAGTTGTTTTTCACTCGTTCCGTTTGTCGATAACGTTTGATTTTGTCAGTTTTTATGATCTTACCCTTTTTGAATTTATCCTGGAGTTTGGTATTTTTGTTGTACTTGTTTCTATCAATTGAATTGTATAATATATAGCGGTAACAGTAGTATACCGATGTTCAAATCTCAGAAATCCAGAGACAAATCAAGGTAAATAAAAACTTGAGTTAAGACAGACACATCGATTCCAGTCGTTCTTCATCATGACACCGTTGTTAATGAAGTCCATACAGTGTAAACATGCATGACTGAAACGTTTTAATTGATTTATGTAAACGCCATACGATTGGACAGAAGGTATGTTAACGCTGAGAAATGGGAAGTTGGCAACTGGAAAGTTGATCATAGATGACATATATGAAATATCATGTTTTGAATTGATTAGTTTAACACCTTCAACAGCCCTTTCCAGATGATATACTTGAATGCACTGATTGATGCTGTGTAAGGATTGAAAGGAAGATCGATTTGACTCAATTGACAAGTAATCTCATCATATATACCAGGATTATAATTTTGTACGTCGGACGCGCCTTTCGTCTACAAAAAAGACTCATCAGTGACGCGCGGATAAAAAAAGAGTTAACAAGGCTAAATTCAGTACGAAGTTGAAGAGCATTGAGGACACAAAGGTATTGCCAAATACAACCAAGGTAATCTATTCCCGTTGTAGAAAATCCTTAGTTTTTCGTTAATTCAAAGTTTGTAAACAGTTAGCTTATAATTATAACCATATCCAGGGGCGGATCCAGGATTTTAGGGTAGGGGGCTCAAACTAAAATATCAATGATAATTCATCTCAACACAGAAGTGCTGACTACTGGTCTGGTGATACCATCTGAGAAAAAACCTCCACCAGCAGTGGCATCGACCTAGGGGTTGTAAACAAACTCATCATAGATACCAGGATTAAAATTTTGTACGCCAAACGCGCGTCAGTTGCAAAGTCAAATCAAATACGAAGTTGTAGAGTATTGATAACAGAAAAGTCCGAAAAGTTTTGCCAAATACGGCTTAGGCAATATGTTCCTATGAAAGCAGTCTTTATCATAGGGAACTGCTGTATATTGTTTAGTGAAGAAACTAAGGTTACACCTCCCTCAGGCAAAATTGTCCTTAGATGGTTTTGTCTATTCCTGTTAGGTCCCTTTTTGTCATATGGTTCCTTAAATATTTATACATCCCTGGCTTTCAATTGTTTTGTTTTGAGCTTTCCCGAAGACAATAAATTCTTAAAAATTCTTCAGATGCAACAAATTTATTGTATTAATTTATTGACTAGCGCTGGGCCGATATCCCTGCTGGTTGACTATTGTCTCGTGGGTTTCACCATTGACATGATTTATAATATTCATTTTCTGAATCCATTGATTTTTTATAGATATTAATAAGTAACATAGGCTGCAATTCCCTCAGGTAAAGTTGACCTTAATAAATCTTGGCTACTTGTATTCTTTTTGGTCTCTTTCAATTTGTCACATAGCTCCTCAAGTATCTACACACCCCTTGCTTTCAAATATTTGGTTATGAGCGTTTCTGGTTAAGGTAAATCTAGAAAAGCACTTCTTTGAAATTGGAAGTACAAGCAAATTGAGTATGAATATCAAATGATCATGTTATATACCAAAATGCAATAAATATTCCGCTCAATTGTACTTTCAAACGTTGTTATTTAATATGGTGACCTTTGCCTTGACTTATGAACAAGAATTCGTTCTGAATGAGTTTGGATTAAATTAAATTCAGGGCTAAATTTTACAATCTAATATGGTTGGATCAGATGAGATGATATGAAACACAAGTCGATAATAACATTACCTTTGTATCATATTTCCTGTGACATTTTGATTAAGTCTTGATTCACATGCATAGAAGGAGATTGTTTCTCACATGTTGTCTCTCTCCTTTTGAAGTTTTATGATAATCAGTTGTTTTCACTTTGATTTGTATATACAGTGTATATATAAACAATGGATTATAGAAATTGGAACATTGGTAAACTACTATTTCCTCTTACTTACTTCTATACATGTGTTGCCATATCCTGACTTTTTTAAACAAGAGTTCATCATGCCCTTCTAGTATTTATGCATCGTGGGCTTTCAAAACCTTTAGATCTGAGTGTTTTTTGTAGAATGTAGATCATAAATTTGTGCCAAACAAAGAAAGTTTGATGTATCTTCTTTGATAAATACAGTAACAAGAGGCTGTCAAATGAGCGCCAGCATTTATAAATGTCATTGTTAAACAAATTAAGGACCATAACTCTTAAATAGCACTAGTGGAAATGGTAAAAAAAAACTTGACCTCAGTTTTGTTGTTAGAAACAAATATATTGAAATTTGAAAAAGAATGGACCATTTGTTTAAAATCAGTTTTTAATCAACCAGAGACTTTAGTGGCAACAGTGAAAAATTGTGAAAAAAAATCATTTTTCCAGCAGAAACAACATACACAATATATGCAAATTAAAACAAAAGACTGGTTGAATATTTCTCAATTGTTGTATAGGAAGGACATGAAGCAGTATTTTTCAAACAATCAAGGACAATTATTTCTAAATGGCAAAAATGAAAATCTTCAACATCAAATTTTACCTCAAGTTTGTCATATGAAGGACATATTAAAAAAGAAAAGGATCGGCTTAGTGGTTCTCATATTTATGCATACAAACTATTTGGAACTGACTATCTGCTTGCCACAATACGATAATACGATGTTTTCTTTGGAAAACCACATATAAATAGGGCTGGAGAAGATACCAAGCATAAAACTACTTAGAACTGACGATCTGCTTGCCACAATAGTATAATCAGATGTTTCCTTTGGAAAACCACATACAAATAGGGCTGGAGAAGATACCAAGCACAGAAACTACTTGGAACTGACTATCTGCTTGCCACAATACTATAATCAGATGTTTCCTTTGGAAAACCACATACAAATAGGGCTGGAGAAGATACCAAGCATAGAAACTACTTGGAACTGACTATCTGCTTGCCACAATACTATAATCAGATGTTTCCTTTGGAAAACCACATACAAATAGGGCTGGAGAAGATACCAAGCATAGAAACTACTTGGAACTGACTATCTGCTTGCCACAATACTATAATCCGATGTTTCCTTTGGAAAACCACATACAAATAGGGCTGGAGAAGATACCAAGCATAGAAACTACTTAGAACTGACTATCTGCTTGCCACAATAGTATAATCAGATGTTTCCTTTGGAAAACCACATACAAATAGGGCTGGAGAAGATACCAAGCACAGAAACTACTTGGAACTGACTATCTGCTTGCCACAATACTATAATCAGATGTTTCCTTTGGAAAACCACATACAAATAGGGCTGGAGAAGATACCAAGCATATAAACTACTTGGAACTGACTATCTGCTTGCCACAATACTATAATCCGATGTTTCCTTTGGAAAACCACATAAAAAAGGGCTGGAGAAGATACCAAGGGGCAATAAAAAACACAACAAAAAGAACTATAACATCATTGCCATAAAAGAGGTGAAAAACACAAAACAAAAATTAAAATTAAGTTGGCAACACAAACCCTAAGCAATTATCTATGGTGAAACAGATCTTCATGAAAGGTAAGTAGTTCCTACTTCACTAGTGACACACATCATACTGCTAATTTTATGTCAAAAGCTAGTGATATATCACATCTGATGATGTCTTAAATAAGGATACAAGGAAAGAATTGTCCCTGCAACAAGAGGAGTATGTCTGAGGTCATCTGTTTCACAGATTTTCCATACAATCAATCAAATAATGATGGTGTTTGCTAATCTTTTAAATACTAGTAGATGAGTAAAACATCAAATTATTATGGTGTATATATAAATTTAATTCATATCAAAAAAGTAAAAAAAAAAATATAACACATTCTGTTTAACAATACAAATTTTCCACATCTAATACACTTCAAATACCTTAAAGGCAAGAGAAACTCAAAATTCAATAATAAGTATTTTTAGGAGGCAATAAGAGAAGCAAGTCAGAAAAATTTTACAATTATTTGTCACCTAAAAACAATTTTTGCGGTAGCAAATGTTCAATTCAATACTGGTATGAGTTTTTATCTTTTTGGCACTAAAAATGCAATTGGATTACTTTAAACTACCAGTAACTTAACTTTCAGGAAATCAGTCAGCAAACATTATGGCAGTATTAAATGGAAAATGCCAAACTTGGATCTTCACTTAAATAAATCCTGCAGTAAAGGTTAATGAATCCTAAAAAAGTCTCCTTAGCAATAAGTTGGTTTAAAGTAAATGTTATCAAGAATAAAGTCTTAAAGTCATTGATCCTTGGAAGCAAATTCTATCACTTAGAAAATACTTCTTGTAATATCCTGATAAGAGTTTAATTAAACACACCAGAAATTCATCAAAATAGATACTGTTTATCATAAGTTACTAGAGCATGTCTAGGTATTAAGGTTAGTGACATAAGAAAAACTCAGTAAATATTACAGGTATCCCTGGTAGTATTATACAATCATGCTTAATAGATATCCGTCAGTATTACACAACAAAATTTCTATGCATACCCACTGCTTCATCATTTGTAATGCCTTTGAAGCGCCATTAGGTGGATATAGTCTGATCAAACTCATTTGTATGTTGTCGTTTTTTAAGTTTATAAAATTTGGTTACTTCTGACTATCAAAATGGTTAGTTTGTCTAGTAAAGAGTCTTTAATAACATTTATGCCTGTTAAAAAACCTTCCTAATCTGATTATAATAAAACACATTTTCATTCATTGAACTGAGGTAAACTGCCAAAATAAAAAGTAAAAATAACTGCATAATAATTTTCAAGGCTTTCTGATAATGCAAGCTGATAATCCTTGTAAAAACAAATTATATACTATCTTGATTTGATATAAAAACAGTTACAAAATATTTTTTAAAAGAGCTTAGTGGTCCATAAGATAAAGTTATCCAGTCTTTAAATCTTGTTTATCCAGCGGATGAAAGTTAAATAAATGGACAATGTCCATGGAACACAGATGAGGCCCCCACTTGCATATAACGTTATAAAGGGCCATGACTATAGAGAACTGTAAAAGTGATGCCACTCAAATACAAACTTTATCTGTGTTTTATGGTAATAAGCATTGTGTATAAGTTTCATATCATTTGGTTGAGACAAACTTAAGTTAGAGAACAGAAACAAAAAATTCAGCAATTTTTCCATTTGTAAAGCGTCATAACTCTAGAGGTTGCACTTTGTAAATACAGCTGTTTCTCAAACCACGCCTCTTTTGGGGAGATATATAATATTCATAGATATGTTAATTTGTTAACGTACTGGTTCCCATTTATGATCTCTGTGTTTCATTTCATAGAGACATCACTTGGGAATGTATCCAGTATAGAAGAACATGGTAGCGCCTAAATTTTAATTCTTAGGAGGTCCAAAAATGGAGGTAAGGGTAGTATAGAATTTTAGTATAAGTTTAAACTCTTAGAAGTTCAGGGCATATAAATGTTGAAAATATGCTGCACAGCCCTATATTTTGACCTTTGAATAAAATAGTAGTGCATATAAACTTTCCGTTCTAGGATATTATTTTTCACGAAACTTCATAGTAAAAGTGTCACAGTTTTAGCCGCAAAGGGAGTTCTTATGGGAAATTGCATTGTCTATATTTACAGAATTGCAACCTAGAACAGTAAAAGTGACGCCACCCAAACTCAAACTTGATCTGTGTTTTGTGGTAATAATCATTGTGTATAAGTTTAATAACATTAGGTGGAGGCAAACTCAAGTTAGAGAACAGAAACTAATTTTGGGATGTACGTACGAACAGACAAGGGGAACACTTAATGCCCCCTCTGCATGGGCGGGGGCATAAAAAAAGGAGTTAAATTTTGAAAACATACAGGAAGTACTTTAATAAAAAAAATGGTGTTTACTTCAGTCTTGTCTCAGCTTAACAATAAATATTCTGATTAATTAAGTAACATTAATATTTCTTCTATTACATGATATAACAAACAGATTCTTGGGATGATTCTGTTTTAATATAAGTATGAGAAATTATCATGTTGAAAGAACCTTGTACCGAGGGGATAATTATAAGTCACTTATAAAAAAAGTTGAGTTTACTTTGAAAGGGATTTGCTATCATAAAGATTAATCATAAAAGTTATTACTTTTCTTGCTTAGCAAGCATGAAGCACTAAAATATTGTAGTCAACCACCAAATTTTTATAATGCTATTGTCATCTCTACTTTTAACACCTATTACTGTAAATTCAGAAATTATTGTGTGCATTTATTATTGCCATTTTTGAAGAATTAACAAAAATGCGAGTTTAATCATTGCGATTTTAGGAAAAGCTTCATACATATATATATATCAGTATATATATCATATATCAGAATGCGAGTTCTTATTACTGAGATACTTAAGGAGTCGCATTATGGCATTTATAAAAACCTCGCTTTAATTTCTGAATTTACAATAAATTTTTTGACAGTATAAATGAGGGCAAATCCACCAAATTAATAATGCTGTCTTCAGAGGTTTATTTTACTACAATTTTCAATGATTGTGGTATCAAATAACAATATAAATCTGTATCATTGCACAATAATAAATATTTGTTCAAAGTTTGATCTTCAATTAAACATAACTTGAATGAAAAAACTAAAGAGCCGAGAAGAATTTACTGCATATATCAAATAAATATGTATACAATAAATAGCTTCTCTCTGTATCTATGGGATACTGAAATAAAAACATGGTCCCTTTAGATGCTGATTATAAAGTATTTTCTCGATGAATATAAATTGATCCCATCATCTCCACTTTCACTTTGCTGATTGTCTTGGAATTCTTCCATGGAATATTTCATAGATGTCGTCTAAACTATCATTAAGACACTGTATAAATTCTCGTACATTTGTGGCAGGAGGATAACTAGTGACATTGAATCCTATTCTGTTGTCTTCTATTGAATAACCTGAAATGTTAAAAATATCAGTAAATTATAATATAAAGACTAAAATTAGTCCATAATTTTCCAAAAGTATTTCGACCAGATCTCAGAGAGAAATGATATATTATCTCTGTCGCATAATAAATGGTCTACCACTGCTACCACTTCAGTTCATACTATATACTATCCAAACAAAATGAGAGAATGACTACAATTATAGTTCCCTTGTGCATTTTGCAACTTATAATAAGTAGCTCTTTTCAACAAATAATTTCATGAATCCTTTACTTAACTTGATATCTAAATTTTGTTATCAGTTGTTTCTAAGTATAGTATTAGTTTGTTGTAAGGTTCAACGATGTTTCAAGTAAAAAGTTGATTATTTATTATTTCAATGTTTAAAAATTTCAAGCTTTATACTGAGTTGGATTACAAAATTTTAAAAGTAAAAAAGTCATACATTGTTATTTATACAACAAAAATACTGTATGAAAATTAAGGGCAATAATCAATGTAAACTAGGGGATATCAACAGCTATTCGTTGGCTCTTACTTGCTGCAATAAGTAATACTCTCTGGAAAGGTTAATATCTTATTCAAGTGTAATAAATTAATATGGAGTAAATTCAATATACTTTAAATGGCTAATAAATAATCACAAAGATTTACTCACCTACTCCATAGCCATCTCTAACAACAGGAGCAAAGCCTCCTATATTGATAGAGGGACTAGCTACAGTAGAAGTTGACAGGATTATATGGTTGATCTTTGCGTAATTTGGATCTGAAAACATTTCTGTTTTCATGCCATTTTTTTCAGCTAGATTCCTTAAAGCAAACAGATGTCGATCAAAGCCATTACCTACAACAGAATTACATTAAACCTTCAAGTAATAAAGTTAATCAAGTGGATGGCAAGAAGACAATACATAGATGGAAATATTGGCGTATGGCAATCCTCCCCTCACACATCAAAAATTCAGTTAGAAATATGAGTGCATGTAGTAAATGGCAAAAAAAAATCCAGTTTGGCATTAACATAAAAGATGAAGACAAAAGGGCAGTGTAATGGGTGCAATTGTCCTCCCCGCACAATTTAGAAGGTAATGGTCTTGGAAAGTGGGATCAAAGTTCTTGTCCAGCACAGATATTAGCATCCCTGTGGAGACTAACAGTGCCCTTCTTATTGCCTTATTCCAGATTCTTGCCATAACCATTATGAATAACCTTCATTGAATCTAAAAGTCAATCAATCAATGGCTTAGTTTTACTTTTAAGAACATTTTTACTGTTACAAATTTAAACCAATAATTTAAGAACATCAGATGTATTTCCAAGATAATTCCTTTAAAATACTATAAATATATTACCCATTGCTGCATCCTTGGTTAGCTTGTTGTGAAGATCAGAACAATTCATTAGCGCTTTTCCTAATTCTAATTGACTTGCTGTGATATTTTGTTTACATATCATCTCACAAGCTTGTTTAGTTAACATGGTGGCAGGTCTCATTGTTTCAGTTCGGCCATGCTTAAATGCTGCTGTACTGCAAGATTCATATGTAGCAACAAATTTACCATTTTGTTTGTAGTAGGCCATCTGAAAAAAAAACATTTGTTTATCTAAAGATACAAATTGTAGTGTGACACCTAAAAAATGCACGTCTATTTATAGCTACATATGTTCACATATCCTCTGTAGTAGGCCACCTGAAAAAATATACATCTGTTTATTTCTACAAATTTTCAATTATAAACATAAAAAACAATTGTGAAAAATATACAACTATGTGTTACAACAGATGGATAATGAACCAAGGACATGGAAATATTTGCACAGGCCATTTCGACAAGATGAGCTTCAAAATCTGTAGATAACTGCATGAAAGAATCAGGACATACACAATATTCTTCAGAAAAATAAACTAAAATACCAAGTGCCTTAGAAAGTCAGTGTTCATACAAAGTTATTTGGTAAATAAAGTACCTGTTTAGCTGCATCACAGATCAAGGTCTCTTAAGTGGGAAAAGGAAGGATATGGTATTGATTTGTATCAGATAATTATCTAACAAATTACCAGATGATATCTAAAATATTAAAGAAACAGTGCTTTTTATTGCTGTTCATCACAAGGACAGTTGAAAGAAGGTCTTCAACATTGAACTAAAAGATCACAACCTATAAAAGATGGAATCTATCCACCACCAAAGCAGTCCTCTTTGATATTGGTAACATTGGAATAGAAGGAACATCAATGAGTAATCAATAAATTGCTCATAAAACTGGGGAATTCTTTCAACAAATTCCATCATTCATTGCCTGACTAAAGATCATGATCATAACATATTTTCAATAAAATCAAAATACCTGTATAGCTAACTGCATCAGAGAATCAGGACTCATGCGAAATTCTTTAGCTGTCTTCTTTGTTATTTTAAAATACTCCAAGTGATGCTGATCTAATGCACCAACATGTTTATCAAAATTGATCTTGGCTGTTTTTATATCTCCTTTCACATTATTATCCAGTGTGAAATCTATAGAAATAATGAGATAATATCAGAACATTATTATAGTGAGTTGTATGAAACCCCAAGTATCAAGCACTCTAAGCTAAAGTTGATTTGCATGCATTTTAAGTTAAATGAAATTTTATGGTTCAGATAAAACAAACATGCAAATAAAATTAAAAAAAAAAACAAAGAAAAAAATGTGCTCTTTAGTGCTTATGCCAATGGTACATACATTCACTCAAATTATATTAAAAATGATCTAACGTCCACTATTTCAACAAGGAATAATTTCTATTGCTGGGTAAAATATATTACAACTAACAGACCAAGTATCTTCAACAGATGGAGAGGAAATAAATTACCATTCTTTGCTATAAACCTGTCAACATTGTGTTTGGCCTATGTTTTTCTTATAAAAAACATCCAGTTTTAAATTTCAGGTCAAAGTTACATGTCAGTTTTTATGGTACATTACATTGTCTTTTGGTGATACACCAACATGCTAAAGTTCTGGCTAAGAAATTCAAAATATTATCATTATTGTTTTTTTGGATAATATACTACAAAACAAGCCATTACACAGGCACATTTTTTCATCAATTCACATTAAAAAAAAATTACCTAAGCACTGTACAATTTTAGAAGAATCAACATTTGCTGGCTTAGTGTCAGGATGCACTTTAGGATTCTCTGTTGAATCTTTGTATATTTCATTAATATATCGAACTACTGCCACACCATCTCCCCATGAATGTTCAAAGTGCGCACAAGCAACACCTTCCTTATCAAATATCAATGAAAAACTCTTGTCAAACCATCTGAAAATAGAAAATCATTGAAGTACTGTAAATTGAAATTTCTTTGCGATGTTTTTATAATTGTGACCAGATAGGTGTCGCAAAAATAAAAACTTGCATTTTAAATTTTGTAACAATATTTGTATGCAGCCTTTCCTCAAAAAGCAATAATTAAATTTGTATTTGTGTTGATTGTTAAACGAACAAATAAATTTCTGAATTTACAGCACTTTTCTATTACCTAATGGAACTGAAAATATAGTCTTGTGCAATGGAATGCTTTTGTTGATATTTTCAAATGAATGTTCAAAAGTTTACACAAGTAACAACTTCCTTGTCAAAAAGAAAGAAATTTCAAGGACTTTACTCTGTTTCTTTATTGAATTGAAAATATGGCCTTGTGCAATGAAATGATTTTGGTGATGATCATTTGGTCTTACTTTCTCCAGGCTTGGTGGGTGGCATTTGAGCCATTAGAATAAATGTTAGCATGCATCAAAGAAAGAGATAATACCTTCTGTTTTCTTATCATTATTATTTGGATTTGTAATTGTCTGTCAGATGATCCTATATTTGAAATGTTGTCTTTTTTTTCTTTCTTTTTGTATTTAAAAACAACAGTTTTAAAACAAAACTTATCTCTTAATTTGTGACCGTATCTATGCATACAACTAATGCTGTTACTGGCTGAGTATTAATTAAAACAGCAAATGTACAATAAAAATATGTTTATTGGAAGAATAGTATGTATGTGTAATATAAGAGCACCTGTTTTTTCCATCTCCATGTAAAAAGTTTTTAGTGATATCATTTGGATCTTTAGGAGCACAATCATCTAATGTCAACACAAAAACTGCACTGTCTATCAGTTGTAGGGTATTTTCATTGCCTGAAAGAAAAGAAACCAAAACAAATAATGACATCATAACTGAGTGAAAAGTAAAATAAGAAAAATACCAAACTCCAAGGAAAATTCAAAACGGAAAGTCCCTTAACATAAGTCAAAATCAAAAGCTCAAACACATCAAACGAATGGAAAACAACTGTCACATTCCTGACTTGGTACAGGCATTGTGATCCTTATTTTAAATGGAAATCAAAATTGCTGGAAGTTCATTTTTTAGTTGTTTCTTTTTTACCTACTTTGAACAATTTTGCTACACCATAGCAATATGTCCACTGCAGCTTATATTAATGTGCAACATAATAGTTTTAAGTGTGAAGACTGCAAAACAACAGGTACCAATATATGTTCCCAGATGAAACGTTAATTTGATTTACTTCAACATTGAAATTATTTATAGTACATTGTAATCACCACAAGCATACAAATCACAGAACCCATAAAAAAGCTGTTACATCAGAATCATTAATTAGGTATTGCATCCTGCAAATATCATTATATGAAAATTGTGTTAAAATTGTGAAACTATGCTTGATGACAAACAATCCTATTAAGTATGAGAGCTTTCTGTCAAGTGGTCTAAAAGAATTAGTGTTCAAAATGTTGTAGTATGCTACGATAGATCAAAACAACCAAAGACCAATAACACTTGCAAAAATTGTCAAATGTTTGTTTAGTATGGTCATGTACCCATGATGACAAACAATCTGTTAAAGTAAGAAAGCTTTTGAGCAAACAGTCTTAAAAAATTAGCATTTATAAAGTGTTATGAAAAGATGACCTCACTGACTGATGAAACTCATTACAAAAAGTAAGGTTTGAATTTCAAAATATGTTGCATAATTCTGGAATTTTTTATGCATGTGAGATATTTTTCTACAAAAAATATTCTGAATCAAAATCTAATGTGGGAATACACAAAACTTAAATCAAATTATCAAACAACAAACTATACAAGAATTTATAAGTTGTTGCCTAATTTTGGTCATGGCATTGTTCAGACAAAATACACATAAATACCTGAATTTAAGAGCTGTTGTCTAATTGTAGCCCATGTATCACGGTTTTCAGAAGTCAGGACTCCCACAGGATATTCAGGAGCTGGTCGACTGTCTTGTAGAATATAATTCAGATGGGCCATGATAACATCAGGTGCTAAAACCATTCCTGCAAGAAACAAAGTTAATCAAAAGTCAAGATCAAATGAGTGAAGAAGTTATACAACAAGAATGGATAAAAAGCTCTAAACTATTGTAAGCCATTTTGAAAAATCTTTTGATGAGCTCAACATTTCGATTCATCTTTTTCTGGCAATATTGATTGTGGTTTCAATATCAGCATAATAGAAAATGTAACATAAAAACATCAAAATTTCTGTCAACAATATGCTTATTTTAAAAAATTGAAAAGCAAAAGATTTGTACAAATGTTGCAGTGTTCTGTTTCAACAGTAAAGCTGACCTCGTGTAAAAATAAAATATTCTTTAAATCTCATTAAGGAATGACTGTAATATTTTTTCTGTCTACGAAGAAATAACATCAAAAATGTGGTGCACACTGAATAACCTGTGTAGCGGGTTATTTTAAAGTGTGCACCACACTTTTTATGTAATTTGAATAGACAGAAAAAATATTACGGTCATTTCTTATAATCTAATTCTAAATTCCATTTTAAACAGAAGTAAACCATGAAAAAACGTTGATGACGTCACGGTCACATGACAAAATTATGTCTATGAGCTGATAAACAAAACAACGTCAGCCAATCAGAAGACGTGTTGCATCCAAAATTAAATTATAATGTTATAACACAATGCATTGTTAAGATTTTTTTGGTGCTTTTTTTATTATCATCAATAAGGATTAATACTTATAGTAAACCTCATGAAACTGTACTAAAATTTCGACTTCCATTCATAAGGAGATTTAAAAACACCCTAAAGGAATAAATGTCTTAATAGCTTCAATTATGTCTTTCATATCAAACCATACCGTTAAAAACAATTATCATACAATGTATAGCATATCCATGCTCCCACATGAAAAGAACCCATCACATTTCCCAACTACACCATTTTTGTTCTAAATCAACATTTATCATTATATGAAGACATAATATTGATTTTGTATCTTACCATCTCTATCAAAAACATCAAAGATATAATAATTTCCATTTCTCATCACGAGAATATGTTTAGCTGTTTCATCTGTAAATAGTTCATCTTTACCATGCCTACAAATTACACAAAATAGCACTATAATTATATCTTCAAATTACATCATACTTGAAATTCATTAGTTAACAATATATCCAGCTGTCAATCTTTTAATAGAAATTTGATGGTTATAATTATTGGTATCTCAATAGCGTAACTCCAAATTTCAGAAATAGATGACAAAATCTATCAAACATAAAATGACTGAGTGCACTTAGCCATCTTTGCTCATGGCAGGAGTGAGAACTTAACCACATTTAGTGTAGTGGTGATGGGTTGAAGTGGTTACAGTTATTCAATCAAAAATATGAACTAAAACAGAATATTTTTTTTTATTGGCAGTCAATTCTTGTCACAAACCAGATATGGGTCTTGTAATGTACAAGAATAGTTCATAAAACACAATTTAACTTTGACTAGTAATTGTTGGGTTACTTTAACAAATATTATCGCTATTTTACGAAATTTTCCTTTGATCTTACTGACTGATAATTTCCTTTCTCAGCACAGTAGAGCGATATGAAAAATTATTGCTAGAAACTAAGGGTGCATGTGCCGTTGTCAGTGTAAACATCAACGTCGTCATAGGCAAAATAGCGATAAACAGATTATCATTGGTCTCCTCAACTTGGTTGCTTTTCTCACTTTTGCCGTACCGGCTCAAGCGAGAAAATCAATCTCGTTGAGATGACCAGTGATAATCTATAAATAACAGTCTTTCTCAATGATTACCTAGACTGTCAAGAACTGTTCTCCACACAGGGATTCACAAATCACAGTACTTGAAAGTCCATAAAAGCAGACTTTGTCTTAACAATATGTCAATGAATCACTGCCTGGGACAGTCTATTAATTAGTAAGTTAACGCTGAAAAGGACGGATAAGTGATTTTTTTCTTATAATACTGTCTGTACAAAGGACAGCCATTATTTTGGTCCATAATTCAACTGTACAATGGTATCCAAGATCCATGAGTTGATTTATAAGACTTGAAGTTGCATCAATCTTTGCTTAAATGGTGTTCCCTTGCAAGTTTTCTATGAAAAAAAAGTGTATTTGTTATTCTTACTTTGGTATTCGTGTAGAGTTGAATAATCTAAAATATTGACTCATATCTAAAGGAAATGCTTTGTACCAGTAAGCACCATACCAGGAAATAGACTCCGGTAACCATCTGCAAAAAAATTAAATAACAAACTGAGGACTGATTTGTGATGTCAGAAGATTTTTTCCTAATTGATTCATACAGTTAAACTCAATATTGTAATTAATCATTGCACATCATCTTTAAACTAGATTTTCAGTAAATGCTAAGTTTACCTTGTATTTTTTAAAGGTTTTTCTCTCACTTGAAAAAAGGTTACCAGAATACTGTCAATTTCATTTAAACTTTATGATGAGACATTTAAAAAAAAAAAAGTTAGAAGTGCTGTTGATAAATTTCACTCAGCAGGTTTCTTATTGTGTGTTTACTTCTACTATATATATGGTCAAGGTAAGCAAAGTGTGTGGTTTGTGCAAATATGGAATTGGTTTAAACAAACAACATTTTGTTTCTGTACAAAGTCAGGATATCTGGAACATGTGTTGTTTGTTGTTGTTTGTACTTCTATTGGTGGAATCTTGTTTTGGTAGTTGGTGTCCTCTATTGTACAGTCCAATATTATTGGTAATTCCAGTTATCTATTTTACATAACGGGTAATATAATAGTATTTTTGTCTATGACTGACATTTACCACCAGGATCCACTAAAACCTTTCATCCTACAACTCTAACTAAATCGTCCCCTTGTATCATCATTTTTAAATGTAAATAGGGGTAAACAAATGTCATGTACAGCCATTCATATTCTTAGTTCATAAAAAATAGAAAATCTATTATATTACTACATTGTATCCTTGTATTGTTTAATCTGACCTTGACTCATTCAAATAAAACATTTAATGTGTAAGACATAAAAAGTCCATTTGGAAAACACCATGTACATCCAATTTTCTTTTATACAATCTTTTTTCCCTTTTTTCCCCAAAATGATTGCCTTCAACAATAAGCATGACATACCTTACAAAGTTTCTAAATTTCAAAGTATCACTTTTAATAGGATTCAGATGGAAAACTTCCGGTTCTAAGACCTTTGCTCTATATGTCTTCAGATATTTCATGGATGACACTAACATGTTTGTGGCTCTAAGCAGCTAAAATTGAAATATAAATTTAAAAAATGCAAAATTCACAGCAATGTAAAAATATGGTAACTACAGTCAGGTATAGTATTGTTTAATTGTATTTGTCCTGTTGAGACTTTATTGTCGAAATGTGTATCTGGTGCAGTTAAATTGGTAATGTAAATTTTATTATTCAAAAGTGGCCATATATCAGAAAAAATCAAATTGCTAACAAACAGTCTCACCTCCTTTGCAATTGTTTGATAAAACTGCCCTATAAATGCATGTATATGGGATTGTGATGAAGTTTTTTTTTCAAAGTATTTCTTAAACTTACAATAACAGAAAACCTAACACTGAACAATATAATTACTTAAAAGTTAAGGGGGCTCGAGGGTATAAATCAATTTTTTTTTTAAATATAGGATTTCGCTATTATTTTCTATAAATGAACTTTATCATATACTTAATAGAAAAATAAAATAAAAAAATGGGGTCACCGTTCATTTAAGCTCACAATCTGCCTTCGAAAGATGCATGCATTTTTGTTAAGGTACTTTTTTTCTGTTGAACTAATAGGAGAAATAGAGGTAATATCGAAATAAAAAAAGAACTAAATTACTGAAATCGCTTAAATTATACAATTGTTTAGTTTAAGTACAGCTTATTTGAAGAAAATAATAAAAAATATAGGTCACCGATGAGTTAAAAAAGATATTTCAATTTTAATGCAAAAATATGGCATTTTTGCACCAAAGGGAGATAATTTGGAGCTTTTTCAATGATATAAACATTTTAAAAGTCATCTGGGGCCAAAACGAATCGATTTTTTAGGTTGATTTTTCTACCATATCATAAAGTAACAACTGATAGTGTAATAAATAAAATTTGTTATGAAAAAAAAAATGTTTAAAATTTTTCTGAAAATTTTGTACCCTCGAGCCTCCTTAAGTTTAGCGTATCTAAAACCAAGGTTTCAAGATATCTTTCAAGGACATGCCTCATAAAAGAAATTAGACACTTGAACAAAGTAAAAGCTTAAAAGTTACTGAAGCATGACTAAATGTCAGATCCTCATATTCTGCTTAAAAATGACAAATAAAAACAGTCAACCAAATAACAATTGTCTAATTCAATTATTACTTATTAATAATAACCGCCGCTAAATTGACAACAACACTTAAGAAAACTGCATCTTTTATTGATCGACATGTTTCTCCTATTAGATCAGCATCTTCAGGACAAAGTATAAAAAATTAGAACCCCTGAAGTACGATCTAATCGGTGAAACATGTCGACCAATAAAAGATGCAGTTTTCTTAAGTGTTGTTGTCAATTTAGCGGTATTTAATTTTTTTATCTGACAACCCTGCATATCATCTGGTATCCACTTAAGGGAACTCTACCAGCACAAAACATAGGAGGTGTTGGTTCAGCAGCTCTTTATCTATTAATAATAAATAAACTTAAATCTTAAAGTCAATGCTAGTGCAGTTATAGTTACTAGTTCCTTGTAATTATTTTCTGAAAACAAAAATGTGAACTAAATCAGGACGTTGGTTTTCTCTTTCGATATTTTTCACATTTTGTCATGCTAGGCCCTTTCATAGCTTACTTAACAGTATGTGGTTAACTTATTGTTGTAGGCTTCACAGTAACCTATAAGGTTGTTTACATCCTCATGCTTTGGTCTATGATGTAGCTGTCTCTATGGCAATCATACCACATCTCAATATTTTTTTTTATAGAATTACATTTTTTTTCTCTCACTAAACCCCAGGAAATTATTTTATTTTCACCATACCATCTGCCCTAAGTTGATGCAAAAAATCCATGGAATAAAAATCAAAATACATATATATCTTGTCTTCATTTGTGCAGATATCATATTTGTACCTGATTTTGATATTCTGGTTTAGGATCATTACGGAACACTATAAATGGATTATAGTTCAGTACTACCGATTCTCTGGCTTTCAGGTACATATCAAACCATGCTTCTATTTAACAAAACAGGAAGATAAAAATTAAATAAATTTTAAGATATTAAATTAAAAAATTCAAAGTGTGTTTAAATACTGATTACTGTATTGAGATATATAAAATTCATTATAAGGGAAAGACATGTATGACATATTTTTTCTGTCTGAACCTAAGTTCTGTGTTCCTTTTTGTCTAAGTTGTTAGTGATGTTTAGATGATCAAGATCAATTATAATCAAAAGTTGGTAGTTTGAGGCAATCCGACTACTGTAGCTAACGATATAAATATATTGTAAAATTTCATAATCAATTATAATCACTTATGAATACTTTTTCAGGGTTCGAGTCCACTTTAAAAGATTATTCTATACATGTAAAATCCCTGCCTATATGCTCTTGATCATCAAGCAAAATAATTTGTTGCATATTCGGTGTGGTAAAAAGCCTTGTTTTTCATTTGCAATGTTTTGATATATTAAAAATGTTCCTGTTTGGTTTTTAAAACACAACCAATTAGATAGCTAGCAGTCCGTTGGTTTAGCTTTTCCAATAATAAAACATATCATTGCTTACACATTTTTAACACTTTTAATTGTTAGAAACTTAAGTGTGGTTTCAGTTTCACTTGATACATTTAATGATTTTGTATATTAAATTCCTTCCTTATACATAAATACTATTGCTGTATATATTCCTTTTCTTTCCTCTATCTAGTGTAATTATTTTCCTCATCTCTCTTGTTACAAATAAAGATTTACCGGTAGTTTTTCATGTTGCCACTGTTACATAACAAACTATATAATAAAATTATTTTCATTTACCTGTGTTTAAAGTTATTGCAAATGGATGGTATTTTTGTTCGAGCATATTGTTTTTCTTTAATTGTTTAACATTTCTTACCGATATAACCAGTCAGAGATATAACTCTATAGGGTTATTACAGAAAATAACTTGCGTGTGTTATTACAGATACTTTCATGAGTTGTCTACTCTTTATTCCTTAAATTTTATAAATCTGTAATAACATATGTTTGTTATTTGTAAAATAGATCAAAAATATTTTAATTTATAGTGGGCTCTAGGGAACTCTTGAGACTTTGCGCAGAAACTAAATGCATAGCCTTGATAACTAATTTTTCAATTAAATTAATACATTTTTGATTAACCATTGTAAATCAATGAGACAAGGCTTTTAAGGGATAAATTTAGCTGTAATAACAAGGCTTAGTTATTAAAGGAATGTAACTTATTATATGAGACACTTGGGAATTACTGGGAAGCTTGCGCAGAACCTCATTACATGCTCTGGTCATTATTTCTTACAATGAATTAAAATACATTGTAATTAAGCATGATGGATGCCTCAGCAAATGCTTTGGAGTGATATAGAGAAGCTGTGATAACACCCTTTAGTTATTACAGGCATACTTTTTCTGTAATAACATAGGTGTACTATACAAAATTGGCAAACTATGAACTGTTATATCTTTCAATAGTTAAGTATACATAAAGACAACAGTAATATCAATAGAACTTGTATGCATTTTAACTAAACTAATGATGTATATTGTCCCTTTGAAACATGTAACATACATATGTTATCACAGTTCTTTGATTTTTTAGTCCACAATAACAAATGTATGTTATTTTTCTGTAATAACCCTATAGAGTTATATCCCTGACTGATAACATGTTACTTTTATTATTCTTCCCTTAGTTTATTTATTTTGTATTCAAAATTAATAAAAATATTTCCTTTCTCTATTGGTACTGTACAGGTATACCTAACAACAAAATTATTTTCATTTACCTGTGTTGAAAGTTATTGCAAATGGATAGTATTTTTGTTCGAGCATATTGTTTTTCTTTAATTGTTTAACATTTCTTACCGATATAACATGTTACTTTTATTATTCTTCCCTTAGTTTATTTATTTTGTATTTACATTGTGTCATAGGTCAAATTTATTTGTTCAGTGTATGTTCAATGGTGTTAATATGTCCTTTGAGTTAAGCTATTTCAGTTGATATTTTATAGTATGTCTTTCTAATACCCTTCCCTTTTCACGAATGTGACTTACCGAATTAGACTATTTACCGGATTTGTAATAACATAAGCAACTCGACGGGTGCCACATGTGGAGCAGGATCTGCTTACCCTTCCGGAGCACCTGAGAATGGTTTTACACTAGTAATTTTTTGGGGCCCTTTATAGCTTACTGTTCGGTGTGAGCCAAGACTCCGTGTTGAAGACCGTACTGTGACCTATAATGGTTTACTTTTATAAATTTTGACTTGGATGGAGAGTTGTCTCATTGGCACTCATACCACATCTTCTTATATCTATATATCTCATCTAGAGTCTTGCTTTTCCTCTCATGAAATTTTTCTTTTTTTACTTGTCTATTCCTTCATATAATATGATTCCTATTTCTTGCTTTATATAACCTGTCAAACTATATTTATTTTTTTTGTTTTCCAAAATTATACTTCGTGTGTTTTGATTTTTTTTTCTTACCTGTCACATAACTGGTATGTTTGTTTTTCTTGTCTTCAGCAATCAAAATGTTGTTCAGTTCTAAAATATAAACACTTTTAATCACTTCTGTAAGATTTCAACAAAAGTTCTAAAATATAAACACTTTTAATTACTTCTGTAAGATTTCAACAAAAATGAAATAGAAATTATACAATGTGATGCCATAATAGTCAGAATACCTAGAGGGCAATAAAAAAGTTGAATAAAGATCAACAGTAACCAAAAAAAAAAAAAAAAAAAAAAAACAACTGATCTCGCAACACTTAAGAGAAATCTAAATATTGATCTACATGAACCAATCCAAAATCCAGAAGCCATATACCATCGAAATTTAAAAGAAACTGATTTAATACAAAATTTATTAAAAAAAACTTTATTTGACTAAAACTTTTGATGTGTTTCATATGCCCAAGCCACAATTCTGTCCTCTTTTTTGCTGCTTATGACATCATTAAATGCCACTTACCACCAAATTATTAATTGCCCTAAGCAACACTTCAGGTGCCTATGGCGGAGAAGAAACTGCTTACACTTCTGCAGCACCCCTTGCTGTGTTAGTGTTGTTAAATCTTTAGTTCTCTGTGTAGTATTTTAATCACTTGTCTGTCTTACTTTAACTTATAATTTTTTATTACCCCTTTGATATCTTCTCTCCATTTTACTTCAGAAAAAGCATATTAGTAGCTTGTTTATCAAAAATATATGCATCTACATTGGCTAGAGGTATAGGGGGAGGGTTGAGATCTCAAAAAACATGTTTAACCCCGCCACATGTTTGCGCCTGTCCCAAGTCAGGAGCCTCTGGCCTTTGTTAGTTTTGTATCATTTTTAATTTTAGTTTCTTGTGTATAATTTGGAGTTTAGTATGACGTCCATTATCACTGAACTAGTATATATATTTGTTTAGGGGCCAGCTGAAGGAAGCCTCCGGGTGCGGGAGTTTCTCGCTGCACTGAAGACCCATTGGTGGCCTTCGGCTGTTGTCTGCTCTATGGTCGGGTTGTTGTCTCTTTGACACATTCCCCATTTCCATTCTCAATTTTATCTGACTCTTCTCATTTTCTTAAATATTCATTGACATAATACCTTAATTTAGCTGATGATCTAAAGAATTTGGGAATATGTTTAGATTAAGGACAATTATTACAAACTTGTAACTTTTCATGGACAGGATTTTACTTGCTCTTGTTGACAGATATTATGAATTATATAAAACCAATAAAGTATTCATATCTAATCTAAACAAATCAGTGTAGTGACAAACCTTGTCCATCATGGTTTTTAAAGTAATTTGTAATAACGGCTGTCTTCTCAAGCTCCTCTGAAGTAAGTATAACCTCCTGTGCTGTAAGATATCTTTCACATGTTTTCTCTAATGGTGGAATTGGGAGGCGAGGCAAACTTTTTTGGAAATGTTCTGTTGGTACAATACTTTCGTGAAGAAAGTCCGGATCTGACAAGGTACTGTAAAAATAATGAAATAAATTATCTTTTAAATGTATTATCATTATGATGCCTTTTTAGTACAAAAAATTCCCCCTTATTTCATATCTTAACATGGACATATTTAGATGCTTACCAATTATTACCTTATCTTATTGTGAAAGGCTGAAATCATTTTTTTCTTTTTGCTCTTTTACTCATTTTTGACAACCCTCCAGCAGCATCCTAGGTGAGGAAAAGTAGTTATAGCCCTTTACTTTATATAAAAATTAAAAGTGCTACCAAAATATTAAGTCAACAGAAACTACATGTATGTTGCTTAGGTTTTTGCAATAGACATCTTTGACAGCTATCTGATGGAACCATTCTGATGAAATCTTGAAAGACAGTTTACTTATCTGCATCTGGACAACATCAGAATATTTTATCTATATGGAATCATGTCAATAAAGTCTGGAAGGAAAGTTCAATAATCTGACAGACTCATGAGCACAGACCTTGTTGGAACTTGACTGATACTGATTAAATCACTCCATGCCTAGGGGAAAGAACTGAAGTAGTCAAGGAATAAGAAAGATAGGAATACTACACATATATAAATGTAATAGATTTTTTTTTGTTCTGATGGTTTCTGAAGCTTTGGTGTACAGTGTGATATTGTGAATATTAAGTAGACATGGTTAGACATTCATTTAATTCTGAGTATTATATACATGTACAGCATTTTAACCAACAATGGATAAGATAATAAAACATTCACATTTTTCATCTGAAAAAAATTGAATTCCTTTTTTACACATATACCTGTAGTGATTTGCCTGTGGAATCCTTTTAACTATATCTTTACACAATTTCTGAAATAAGACACAAACTATAAATGAAGGCTCTGATGCATTAATCAATCTTCACATTACTTCAAACAGATTAATCAGTTTATGTCTATAGTTGTTCGTAGGTGTGGTAAATTAATCATTAAATAACTACTTGAATACTATTGTTTCCATATGTTTTATATTGCAAAAAATATTTCCTACATTGTTCATGGTATTGAATGACATCTCAATTTTAAATGTGCCCCGACATGATTTATATGCTCTAAGGTTGCATTCAGTACCCATGGTCATTCCTTAAAATTGTATTATTCAGTACTGTTTACCTGTTTCTGTGGTAATATCTTTATGTATAAACAATATTATTAAGTGAGCTGATTTTTATTCATAGTGTAAATTTCTCTGTACCTTTTGTTCTTCCAGTGACCCAGCTCAAAGGGGAGTTGAGTACTTAAATTTTTCAAAGTGGTGGTTCAAAGCAATAAAACTCATCAGTGGTTGTCTGTGTTCATTTCTTAATTCTTTTTGTAAATATCCTTTAAGGAGTTTCTGTTGATAGCAAATTTCACATTTTACATTGTAGCTATAAAATGGTTCACCTAGTATACCTTATTAATCTTTGCCTGCCATCAGCAGTCCATAGTTTTACCCCAAAAAAACACTAAAGAAAGTAAAATCACTTAATACATGTAATAACCATTAAACATATCCTTTCTAGTGAAAAAAAAATCATTTTACTTGGTTACTTTGGGGTTTTTGGGCTACTTTTCATGTTTTTATGTGTTTTGGGGGTAAATCTATGGACCCTGCCATCTGAGTACATCATAGATATTCACATAAAATATTTTTAAGTCACTGATGCCAAAGTTTAAGAGTGATTTTTATGCATAGGTGTCAACTCTCCAGATATTGCTGGACACGCGAAATTACAAGCATTATTATTACAATGATAAGCCGCATCCGGGATCAGACCCCCCAATGAGTCCATTTAAGAACTTGAAAATACCCTTTTGATTCCAATTTTTCTGACAAGGTGGCATTTAGATGGTAAATATGCATGAGTCAACTTCCACATACAGATGCAGGATTCACATAGTTAAGACCGTTTTGTGATTATAAGCATCAGTTTCATAACATTTGGTGGAGGCAAACTAAAAGTAAGAGAATGGAAACGACAGATTAAGCAATTTTTATGTTTATAAAGGAGCATAACTCATGAACCGTAAAAGTGATGCCACCCAATTTCGAAATTGATCTGTGTTTTGTGGTAATTAGCATTGTGTATAAGTTTCATAATATTTGGTTGAGGCAAATTAAAGTTAGAGAACGGAAACCAATTTAGGGGATGTACGTGACGGACAGTCAAGGGTAACACTTAATGCCCCTCCGCTACGGCGGGGGCATAAAATTTGAGTAACTTTTAATTATTATCAAACACTGTTTACTAGACTACCAAAGCTTTCTGACATGTTGTTTTGGCTAATAAATTTGTTAATACATGGATTTATTTTAATGTTGATTGCGAACTTAATTTATTTATTAACAGTTGAACTTAAAAAGCAATAGAATATTTATATAAAAACAATGTGAAATAAATTTTTATGAACCAGCTCTCTCTAAACAATTTGTCCTAAAGTGAGATATCCCACTTGGAGAAATTACAAACATTATTATTACAATGATAATCGGGATAGGGGAATCTGACAAAACAATAAGCGGGATATGGGATCAGACCCCCAATGAGACCCCCTTTTAAGAACTTAGAAATATCCCTTTGAATCCAATTTTTCTGACAAGGTGGCATTTAGAATTAAGTGGAATTTAGATATTAAATAAATGGAGAATGTGTCTATTGGCCACAGATGCGGCAGCTGGTAAATATGCATGAGTCAACTTCCATATACAGATGCAGGATTCACATAGGTAAGACCATTTGTTATTATAAGCATATGTTTCATAACATTTGGTTGAGGCAAACTAAAAGTTAGAGAACGGAAACGACAGATTTAGCAATTTTTTCATTTATAAAAGGGCATAACTCATGAACGGTAAAAGTGACATCACCCAATTTCGAACTTGATCTGTGTTTTGTGGTAATAAGCATTGTGTATAAGTTTTATAACATTTGGTAGAGGCAAATTAAAGTTAGAGAACGGAAACCAATTTAGGGGATGTACGTGACGGACGGTCAAGGGTAACACTTAATGCCCCTCCGCTACGGCGGGGGCATAAAATTTGAGTAACTTTTAATTATTATCAAACACTGTTTACTAGACTACCAAAGCTTTCTGACATGTTGTTTTGGCTAATAAATTTGTTAATACATGGATTTATTTTAATGTTGATTGCGAACTTAATTTATTTATTAACAGTTGAACTTAAAAAGCAATAGAATATTTATATAAAAACAATGTGAAATAAATTTTTATGAACCAGCTCTCTCTAAACAATTTGTCCTAAAGTGAGATATCCCACTTGGAGAAATTACAAACATTATTATTACAATGATAATCGGGATAGGGGAATCTGACAAAACAATAAGCGGGATATGGGATCAGACCCCCAATGAGACCCCCTTTTAAGAACTTAGAAATATCCCTTTGAATCCAATTTTTCTGACAAGGTGGCATTTAGAATTGAGTGGAATTTAGATATTAAATAAATGGAGAATGTGTCTATTGGCCACAGATGCGCCAGCTGGTAAATATGCATGAGTCAACTTCCATATACAGATGCAGGATTCACATAGGTAAGAACATTTGTTATTATAAGCATATGTTTCATAACATTTGGTTGAGGCAAACTAAAAGTTAGAGAACGGAAACAACAGATTAAGCAATTTTTCCATTTATAAAGGGGCATAACTCATGAACAGTAAAAGTGACACCACCCAATTTCAAACCTGATCTGTGTTTTTTGGTAATAAGCATTGTGTATAAATTTTATAACATTTGGTTGAGGCAAACTAAAGTTAGAAAACAGAATTGAAAAATTCAGCTATTCTATGTTTATAAAAGGGCATAACTAAGAAACGGTAGAAGTGACATCACCCAATTTCGAACTTGATCTGTGTTTTGTGGTAATAAGCATTGTGTATAAGTTTTATAACATTTGGTAGAGGCAAATTAAAGTTAGAGAATGGAAACCAATTTTGGGGACATACACGACGGACGGTCAAGGGTAACACTTAATGCCCCCTCGGCTACAGTGAGGGCATAAAATTTGAGTAACTTTTTATTATTATCAAACATTGTTTACTAGACTACCAAAGCTTTCTGACATGTTGTTTTGGCTAATAAATTTGTTAATACATGGATTTATTTTAATGTTGATTGCGAACTTATTTTATTTATTAACAGTTGAACTTAAAAAGCGATAGAATATTTATATAAAAACAATGTGAAAAAAGTTTTTATGAACCAGCTCTCTTTGTCCTTAAGTGAGATATCCCACTTTGAATTTAAAAAAAAATGATGCCTATGGTTGTTTGACATCAGTAGGTCAAGTATAGCAAAATATCATGTGGGTCAAATGTCGGCGTGTCCAAAATAGTAACGAGTTCTAATAAGGGGACGAAGTCCCCTATAACAATAGAAAAATCAATAAAAAAAAAAAAAAAAAAAAAAAAAACGGGAAAATTTCCCGAAATTTTCATTGTACTAATGAACTCAAATTCGTTAACTTTTTCTTTGGTAACTTTTTTCAATTCCCGCATTTGCACAGAAATCTACTTCCCTCTACCGGTCTCGTTTGTCATGAGACTTTGAGTGAAATATATATTTATCAGTCCAGTAAAATATAGGAAGGAACACAATAACAATTTCATTTATAATTATTCTTTGATATGAAAAAACGTTACCTGATGAAAGCGTTTCTTTGTTTACATTGAATATGACATCATAATTAAAATAACGTCACAACTAAAATCCCTAACAACAAAACCAAAATCGGAAACGTTACGGTATTTCCGTTTCTTTTTTAACAGATTTAGAACTTAAAATATGTTTGAATTAAAAAAAATAATTTATATAGACTTCGTCCCCTTTCACAGGTATTGCCTGCCTCATATCAATTCTATAAAAGATGACCCTTTAGGTCCCCTTGGTTGATTGATTATTGGTTGCTTAACGTCCAGTGGCAAATATTTCATGCATATTCAGGACGAAATGTCCTTAGACCTTACTGTCTTAGTGTAATTAAATAGATAAACAACCTTTCTTTGTTTAAGGCATGATGCTTGGAAGTAATTTCTGCCCACTAAAATTTTGCTTTGTAGCATAATGTTACAATTTAAAATCTGTTTCTGTAGTAAAACTTTGATTTCTTTGACTTTTATTTAGTTGAAACTTTGCACCGGTCGGCGACGGAAGTTTGAAAATGATTCTAGTTTCTCACGAAAGACGGATATTGATTCCGGAATTCTGAATGATAAATGAATGCAGCCGTGAAAATAAATTGTAATCCAAATGACAGGATATACTATACTGCATAATTTGATTGAATTTTAATGTTTAGTGGACAGCTATATGCTGCTTAACATAAATAACATTTCAATCGAAGACTTCCGGTTTCTAAAAATATCACGCAGTGAAGAACATGAAGTATGGCAGACACTGGAAAGGAAATTTTGAAATACAAGATAAAAAATTGGTCAAGTTTTTCATACAACTATTTACCAGAGTATGTGCATTGTCACAAGTATTTTTTATTGTCCCAATATTGATATTGGTAGGAAAAAACTAATAAAAATAGAAACATTAAAAAATATAAGCAATTTACCAAAATTACACAACAGTCCACTGTACAAATTGGGGTAACACGAATGACCGAATAACACCGTTATTATCCAAATAACACTTGTAATGACCAAATAACACTTGAAATTTTAATATTAGCACATATTGGTGACTTTTAATCATTGATTAATATGAGGCAGGCATTACCTGTGAAAGGGGACGAAGTCTATATAAATTATTTTTTTTTTAATTCAAACATATTTTATTTAAGTTCTAAATGTGTTAAAAAAAGAAACGGAAATACCGTAACGTTTCCGATTTTGGTTCTGTTGTAAGGGATTTTAGTTGTGACGTTATTTTAGTTATGACGTCATATTTAATGTAAACAAAGAAACGCTATCATCAGGTAACGTTTTTCCATATCAAAGAATAATTAGAAATGAAATTGTTATTGTGTTCCTTCCCATATTTTACTAGACTGATAAATATATATTTCACTCAAAGTCGCATGACAAACGAGACCGGAAGAAGGAAGTAGATTTCTGCGCAAATGCGGGAATTAAAAAAAGTTACAAAAAAAAAGTTAACGATTTTGAGATCATTAGTACAATGAAAATTTCGGGAAATTTTCCCGATTTTTTTTTTTTTTTTTTTATTGATTTTTCTACTGTTATAGGGGACTTCGTCCCCTTATTAAATAATATTATATTATAAGTGTATTTTATAACTTAAAAATGATTAACAGAAAGCAGGTAAGTTCATAAAGATCGTTTTAAATTTAGTGTGTACATCCAACATGAGGGGCCTGATGGGGGGGTCTCATCACGATTCATGAGTTGATTTTTTTGTCAATCAGGATTCACAGAAAATAAATTTCCATGATCACGGATCACGAAAAAAAAAAAAAAAAAAAATCTGTAGAAAAACGGATCACGATAGCGAAAATGCGCCGATCACGAAGAACGAAAATAACCCATCAGGCCCTTCCAACATGGCGACCATTGTGATTTCCTTGGTCGCCATGTTGGATGTACACACTATATTCAAAATAATCTTTATGAACTTACCTGCTTTCTGTAAATCATTTTTAAGTTATAAAATACATTAATAATACACTATTATTTATTAATCAATGTTTAAAAGTTACCAATATGTGCTAATATTAAAATTTCAAGTGTTATTCGGTCATTACAAGTGTTATTCTGATAATAACGGTGTTATTCGTTCATTCGAGGTATCGTACAAATTGTATATACATGTACATTGTAAACATTATCACCTGTTGCTGGACTATAGGATCCTATAGAAATCTATTGGATGTAGAACCCAATTTATATTTTTGTGCAATGGAAAGGGAGTGATACATTTTGTTGTACATGTTGTATGTTGAACTTGAAAATGTTCCTCACATATATATTCTACTGAACAGAATATTACTTCATATTTGTTCAGCAATGCTAAGCATGACTATGCATGCATTCTTGATGTATTCATGCATATTAAATTCATCATATCTTGGTGATAAACCGCATTTCTTACAATTTCATTGCAAACAATAAGAAAATAAGGAGATGTATAAGATTGCAAATAATGAAGTAAAAAGGCATTTAAAATCATGTCAGACAAAGGTTCTATCATCATCAATATTATCTTTTTTGCTTCTTGTCAATATTTTTACTGGAAATTGACTCTGGCATTCATAAAATGCTTGCAATACTAATCAAATCACAATTTACCAAAGAAAATGCTGTAATCGATCTCTTACACTATTAGGATAAAACATATGAAATTGAAATTTCGTTGCTTACCTTTTAAAGCCGGCAGTACTAGTAAAGTCATGAAAGTTGTCAAAAGATACCAATGTATTGATTTTGAGTATTTTTCATCATGTTTATTGTGATATAAATATAAGGAGTTGAGTTATTCTCAAGGATGTAAACAACAACAGGTCATTGTATGTATGGCCTTCAACAATTAGCAAAATCCATACTGTATGTTTTTGGAATAGGTATAGGGGTACAAAGATTTGGTTGGTTGTATATAGATATATATACCATATTAACCTAACTAATCCAGTGTTGTCCTTCCATTCGAGCATTACAGTAAGATAGTTCAGATATTAAGTCTTGTACCTGTTATTGTTTACACCCTTAAGTTTTCTGATACTTTAAATGCCAGTTTGGGTATGCCTAGCCTGACATTGGGTCAAGATGTTTTTTTTTGCTTTTTTGTTTATGTCAAACATTTTGTCAAATGAATAAAAGGGTATATATATATATATATACAAGTCTCAATTGAAAACAACGTTCAAACCTATGATCGATGATTGCGTTGGATAAAAACCGCAATTTTTATACATGTGCATGCAAAACAAATTTCTTGTTAGAGGGGTCTAAATACAGCACAAACAACATTTTCCAAAAGACCAAATATATATATATATATATATATTAATGAGACAACAACCCAACAACAAAAAAACAATATTCTAAGCTCTAAATCACTTCAAATATGAAAAGTTGTGAATAATGAGTGAGATTATAATGAAAGTACCATAAAAATAGAACAAAAGACAATCACTAAATAGGTTCCTGACTCACAGGCATATACATATGTAACTAATAGGAGGAAAAGTTAAACTAGATTTTTTAGGTTGAATCCCTCCTCCTTTTAGTCTCAATAAATTAAAAAAACAAATTGAACATAAAATAATGTACAAAAAATTTAGAACAGGAAAAGAGCTTTAATGTGAAATAATGGTATGATGAATAACAAAAATACCCAAGAACAAACAAAACCATATCAAACAATATGAATATCATGGATTTTTTGTATAAATTCGTAAGGGATGCACAACTCGTGCTTTTCAAACAAAATATATGATGTCTATATTGTGATGACCTTTTGCTGAGTAACAATTAATGGTAAACAAACTGATGCTTAACTAACCCTGTTCGACCTGCTGTGCTAATGATTAAAGTGTCTGAATCATCAAATGAAGTTAAATGGTATCCTTGGTAACACATGAAAACTATATAGTATTTTATTTCTTGTAGAAACATTTATCTTGATAAGCCAACAGATCAGTCGTCTAGGTGGTCATCAGATTCTAATCATCCACCACAGGTCAGTGTATTGTCACATGGTCTCCTGAATAATGTTGCTGGTACATTTATATTGTTCTCAAAATGAGCTATATTTTAGGTATAATAGACACATGAGATTTTAATTGTTCATGACATTATGCTTTTATGTATAGTTAAGACAACAGTTAAACACTCATTTACAGCAATGTGGTCAAGAGAAATATAAAAAAAAGAAGAAAATATGACTTTACTTATAAAAATCTTAGTGCATTTATGTAATAGGAAAATATTTTGATTCTAAAACTGCATTGTATATTTAATCAATGCTTGACCAAAATGGCACCAATATTCCCTTCATTTTTGAATAAAAATATGTTTTAGAAATTTTAACATTTGTTCCTTGAATTGTAATGTTATCAGGTAATAATACATTTGAATAAATTTTTTTAAACGTTTTATTTCAGTTCCTAATATTAAAATTAGATAAACCAAGCATTGTACAGACAATAACATTTGGCAAATATGAAAAGACACATGTATGTAACTTGAAGAAGTTTAAGATATTTGGTGGAATATCAGAAAGTCACATGCTTCAGTTACTAGAAAGGTTAGTACATTCTGTGATGTTGAAGGATTTGTACTGAATACAGGAATATACAGATTAGATCTATTCAACTTGACATTTGATTACAGGTAGTTCAAAGGTCAGTACCCAGTAGTTTATGTCAGAACTCAACAATTAATGTTCCATAAGGTCTACTCTATACCATGTCTTAACATAAACAATTTTTTTAGGGAACTTGTTCTGAAGGGATGGAACAAGAGCAAAATTAAGTACTGCAAAATAAACAGACATACAAGACTCATTCAAAACTTAGATTTGATTTGAAAGACATCATTGATAGTACATACCTTTTTGTTGTATCATACAATTTCTGTTCATAATAGGAAAATGTAAGTGCCAATCTATTTTGGAACATGTTCCATGGGAGGCAATCCTTTGCTGGCAGGAGAATAAAATGGACAAATTGCTAAGAGAAATTCTTTTAAGCTTCCAAATATGGACAGGAATGAGCTTAACCCGGTAGAAGTTTCCAAATTTTCTCAGTGGCACATTATACATATAAAACAAGATTTAAACACAAATTATATGTTGTTTCTTACAGCAATCTGATTGATTCCAATTCTGGTGGATATCAGAAAATGATAAAGTCTCTGTTGATATGGTTGAACAGTTGACACAAATAGGTTGCTATATAAATTTACTAGGGTTTGCCAAGTCTTGCTATGCACTTGTACTGTGTAGATGAAAAGTATAAACACCAAACATACATACAAATATGCTAGTTTTGTGTAGAATGGAGCTTTAATTATCATATTATCTGTTCTGATCTTTTAAGATAATATCTATGATAAAAAGGAAAGATGATGTAACAACTTATTTCAGAATTTTAAGTCTGTTCGAAATCTGAATAATATACACAATTTCTCTCCTAAAATGCAACAACATTTAATATAAAAATGTTTCATGTTTTTA